TTAGCACTAAGCCATGATGGAAACGTTGCAGTATGAGTTGTCGTTGTTGTCGTTGTCGTTGGAGTTTCGGATACAAGTGATAAAAGATCTACAGGTGGACCATATGTTGAATTATTTTGTGTATTTGCAAGAGATACGTCATATGCTGTTTCAAGACATTGAACAGCAACTAAAATAAAAAATAGCAGTATTCCAATAGAAAGCAAATCTTTTTCTGTTTTTTTTTGTATAAGTCATATTGATAATATTACCTTCCATACTCTCACGTCGTTCAGGATTATCTAATTCAGCTTGTATTTCTCCATCGAGAAATTTTAAAATCGCATAAACTAAGCGTTGTTTTGCCATGTGTTGTTGAGACATATCTAGAAATATATGAGATCACTGTTTTCTTTTTCTTTTGTGCCTTATTAATAAAATCAAGTAAATATGAAATACTCAAAAATAAATGAAAAAAATCAACCCACCTAACATGTGTCACTAGATGAGGTCGAGTGGAAGAACCAATTGATTTGAAAAAGTAAAATAGATGTCACTCAAATCTAGTAGATAGTTAAAAAAATTGAACTTAAGAAAATACAGAAATAAGTATACTTATTTTTGTCACAAATATTTAAAAAAACTCTTGATCCATATAAATATTATTGAGTTTGACGAAATTATGAATAGCTGTAGTTTACGACAAATATAAGATATTATTTCGAAATTATTATAGAAATAAAAACAAAATTGTGTGTAAAGTACATTTGAAATAGTCGGCAATATTTTGTTTTTTTGTTATGCTTTATTGACTTTAATTATAGGTAAAAACGATATTACTAATCATGTAATTAGTATCATACATAAATTAATATTTATTTAAAGCAATTCTTAGATCAATGATTCCAGCACTTGAATTCATGGATTTCTGGCGGGGAGCCTGCAAGAAAGACGCTATTTCCAACCGAAAAACTCCGGAAAATGGTATACACTGGGAAGCAGAAATCCGGTGATTGTATTCAGCTGCTGGCTCTGTTCGATTCCAGCTGGAATTGGATAATTCTGATCACTAAATCCAATCTCTCGATACCTTCTTCCTACTTCCTACTATTTTCCGGAGTTGTCCGATGGGAACTAGTCGTACCTCATTCATCTAGATTGAACGGAAGGAAATTATTCAAAGTAAACTAATATTTATTATAAAAAAAAACGAATAAGATATATAATCCAATAAAAATAGAATGTCTTTTTCATGTGTAAAATGAAAAGACAAAAAGATCAATAATATTTAAAAAATAAACAATCTTATGATGGTGACGAAGAAATTTAATTCTTACATCGAACTAACACCTTCATATAATGATTTCATATTTGCATCAATATTTAGCTCATTCAGAACATTAACTATATTTGAAATTGTAAAGCTATTATAACTAATGTTACATAACTAATAAAAATTAACATCAACAACATTCTGAAATCATGGTCCTCCACCACCTATATTACATAGTAGTCCTTGTTCGACATGATTGACGTGTGTCTGTTTTGAATTTGGAACATAATCACAACATATTTGAAGATTAAGACTAAAATAAAAATTAGCTGAGCAACCAAGTGCATATGTATATACTAAATATGAACAATTGAATCCAATACCTTGTGCATCAGTAACTGATTATATGTATCGTCCATTGAATCTTGTTGAAACTAGGAAAACAACATCATAATTAAAAGCAATTGAGTTTTTCTCCATGCTTGTAGTACTATCATATGTTGAACTGATTGAATTCTATAGGGATCAGTAGTATTTTAATAAGCTAGTATGAAAATACAATTATTATTAGCATGTGAAGTTTTTGTAGTTGTATTGTAGGACAGAATGTTCAACAGTAGAAATTAAATCATTAGATTTTACATTAACAATAGAAACTGAACATAAGTAATATGATATCATCACTTGTCAAAAAACATATCCTATCGTATAAATTTGACGATCATTTTTGAAAATACGCTTTACTTGTGATATCATGATTTAAAAGAACTGAACCTGGAACTATTTAATTAAAGTTCAGTCATCACGCTACTATGATTTGATATTGTTTTATGTGTCAGACTAGACAATATAATATTTATCGTTTTTGCTCTTTTGCGTCGATCAAATATCTGAAAGTTACGTATTCGTTTATTGTACGTGCCTGATGCGATTAATATTGAACAAAAAGTATCAATAATAACAAAAACAGCAGGGTCTACTAATAAAATTTTGGAAAGAAGGTGGATAAAATGAATTGGTATCAATATATTTTTTTGATCGTTGCTCTGTTACAATTAAGAAGAAGAAGATATCAGACAGATTCCAATAGAAAATCTCACTATATGTAATATGATATTCATCAAACCCTCATATATTATATACGATTGACTTGTCTATGTTATTGATCGAATTCTTGCTCCTATAACGGAATTGACAAGAAGAATAATGATTTGTATGTTTTTCATCTGTTCTTTTTTCTTTAAGAGCCATCAAATATAACTATTGGACGTTGTCTATATCTATATATGAATAGTTTTCAATAGTAATCATTCTGATAATATGATTTGCCATTGATAATAAATATTTACAGAAAATATCGACAATTTACTTTCCATCTTTCATAAGCATTACTAATGAAATCTGATGGATCATTAATTTTCTTTTCAAGGAATGAAACAAAGAGTCAACAATTTTTCTTTCTACATATTACAACATACAATCAAACAGTAAACTAAATCGTTGCGTAATAAATAATATTTAATTTTCTTTAACCTTGACAAACTATTGCGTTTTTAACATTATTGAATAAATTTATTCATTTTTCTTTTATTTAAACTTGAATATTAATATTAGTTTTATGTCTTTACAAACCGTTATCTTCATCTATAGTCAATATTTAAAAATATATATATAGACTCATTTCGAAATTGTTTATTTTTATTATGAAGAGATTTGTATCCCTTATTTAAATAATATAATGTCATGAATCTCTGTTTTAGGTTAGTGTAGGAGTTATTTCAATCTCCTCCTTTTCCTTCGATTGACTAGCTTATCACAATGTTTAAGCTCTATATGTACATGCATTTCTATTCTTCTTTACTGTCAAGCTGGACACATATACACGCACACGACTTAAACACAATTGAACGACCTTTGAAGGATATATGACATAATAGACAAAAAAAAAAGAATAGGAAGGAGAAAGAGTATTCAAATAAAAAAGCCATACGAATTTAGAAGGTTATTGGTTACATCTTACGATAATGATCCCTCGTTTTACATTGACAAAAAAAAAAACAACAACATTATAATAAATGTTGAGTATGTGAGCTTTAAGGAATGTGTTGTTAAAATAAGAATGTATTCGAAACAAGTGAGTTAAAAGTACTTTTTATTTTGTAAAAAAAAAAAATAAGAAACAAGAAAATTTTTCTTTTACTATAAGTATCAACGTCAAAGATTATGGCATTACGAATAAATCATGTTATTCATAGTTATTTTTCTTGGTTTTTATGCAAGTACTGCTGAACTTGTGCCTTCTACTCCATGTGAATATATAACAGATGAAAAACTTCTTTGTCGACAAACATCTTTTATTGATAGTAATATTCCATTAAATAATAAATCAATTTATTCACATATAAAACATATCGAATGGATTGAATCAGGTGCATATATTTTATCAAATGATCTTTTTCATTTATTTTCTAATCTTAAAAATGTTTCATTACGTTCAAATACAATAACATCTTTATCTATTTTACCATTTTGGCATCATTTAAAACATATTTATCATCTTGATTTATCACAAAATCGTTTAATATCAATAAATAATCGTGATTTTCAATTATTTCATAATTTAATATCATTAAATATTTCATTTAATTTTCTTACAGCAATTGAACCTATTTGGTTATTAATACCATTACAAATTATTGATTTATCACAAAATGGTATTAATACAATAGGTTATATGAAAATTCAAAATAGTACATCAGCATTAAATTCATGTTTATTAGAACAAATTTATTTAAATGATAATCGTGGCCTTCTATCATTTATACAATTACAAACAACTATAATGAATGTTTGTCCATTTGTTGATCGATTTCAATTAGTGAATAATCATTGGCATTGTGCTTGTAGTGATCTTTTTAATTCACTAAAACATTATCGAACTTTAATTCTCATCGATGAACCTTCACAAACATTAACTGGTCAATGTGAAACACCTTTACCATTTCGTAATATTGATATACAAAAAATGAATGAAGAATTAGCATGTAATCAACTTGTACTATTTGATTCAATACTTAATGAACAATCACAATCATCACCATCCTTATTTTCTTCTCGACAAATCATGTATCTATTTATAATTGGTTGTATCATTGGAGTTATTATTGGTTTATGTTTACATTATTGTGTTCGTCGTTGTCATGATTTACTTTTTTATATATTATTTAAGTGTAATAGACAAAAAGTTGTAAATGAAAGACATCCAAATGAATCTGTTCAAATGGCTGATACTAATCATAATCCAAATCATTTTATTTATTGTCCAACAATTGAATCTGATTCATTACCAAGTTATTCTCAAGTTATGAATGATATATTTTATTTGGATATTATCAATCGACAACAACATAATGAACCCGATGGTGAATGTTAAAAACATGAAGCAAAAAAAAAAAGAACTAAAACGACAAATATCCTATTAAGTATAGGAGAAATTCCCATTTTCTTTCTGCTTTTATCTAAATGAAACTGTATGATATTGCTTAGTTACCTAAGATTGAAAAAAAAAGAACTTATATTTCGAATATCATTGAAAAAAAAACCAAATATTAAAATTTTTTTAGATGCTTTGTTTTCTACTAGTTCTATAGCAATAATCTTAATAAGTAATAAAAAAAAAGATCACTGATAATTAATAAAAAGAAAAAAAAAGCTTGTTATTAGTTTATATAAGATCAAAACCATCATTTTAAAGTTTTGATTTAACCATTTGATTAAGTAATTTTTCTAATTTAAGTGCTGTTTGCAAATCGCCTGCAAAAAAAAACAAAAGAATTTTAATGAATTAAAAAAAAGCAAACACTAGAAATGGAACCAGTCTGAAATCCGTACTGATACCGATTTCATCTCTGACAAGCACATATAATGAAAGAATGAAATTTACCTTGAATTTTTAATTTTCCACCCATAAATGCTGCTGTTGGTTTTAATTTTCCAGCAAACATTGATTGAAAATCAGCTTTTGACATTTTAAATGTACATTGTGCTTTACCAGATGGTGGTTCACCTTGACCAACACTACCATTATCATTTTTCATATCTAAATACCATAGATCACCTAAATATAAAGAAATTATTTTGTATGTATTTTTTCTTTTTGTACATTAATTAGTTAAAAAATTTTATACCTTGTAAATCAAATGCATAAACACTATTAATTTTTTTTAATAATTCTGGTGTTAATAATGTTTTAATATTATTAAATACTTGTTCGACATTTGATGATTCACTTGTAGTTGTTTCGGATTTTTGTTTAGATTGTAATGATTTTTTCTGTTGTAATTGAGGAATATTTTCATCAAGAAAAAAATCAAGCATAAAATCAGTTGTACCAGATACAACAGAATATTGATCAAAATCTGTTACACCTTGTTGACGAAGTAATACTTCATCAACAAAAAAATTGCCTGTACATGCTCGACTATCTTGTGTTATGATTGCATATGCTGCATCAGCCATGATTTCTGGTCGTCGACATTTTTTTCGATAATCTTCACCAGCAATTAAATTTATTGCATCAGTATCAATAGCTATTGAAATAAAAAAAAAGAAAAGAAAGAATAGAAATTAAAATCAAACACAATAAATTTTTATACCAGTTTTTGGCCATATTGTATTTACAGCAATACCAAATTCACGTAATTCAGCTGCAAGACCTAATGCATACAAAGACATGTTGTATTTAGCAACAGTATAAGCAACATGTCGTTTAAACCAAAATGGATTCAATGATAATGGTGGAGAATTCATAAGAATATGAGGATTTGAGGATTTTTTTAAATATGGAATTGCCACTTTGGAACTAAAATTAATAAAAGATGATGTATTAGACACTCTATTTGTTTAATAAAATTGATTGAAAAAAGAAAATAAAACATCTTCGTCTCAAAAATCGATTCTAGGTCATGTACATTCAAATCGTATGAAATTTTCAGGATATGTTGAAATTACAGTGGAGAGAGTATGGGAAAATTTTCAATCCCATATCATGAGGTTTTTTGGAGATATTCAACAAACAAGAGTTAGAGATAACTCATTTGAAAACCCAATATTCTCTGTGGGGCTTCATTCTATACATTCAGTTTCATTTTTATTCGAAAGAGCATGGCAGACTGCAATGCTCTTTTTTTAAATTTCTACTTTTCATATGGAAAAACAAAATGATAAGTTCAATATCTCGAAAAACTCTCAAATGGTCATCTATTTATGGAAGTATTTTTTCTTAAATAATAATAAAAAAATTTAATACAAAAAAATTGGCTCTGCAACTTTGTATGCTCTTTCAAGTGTAAAAAAGCGATTGACTGCAATGAAACTCCTTCGAGAATTCTAGAAAAGTATATACAAAGAACAAGCGAAAACGATTACCTGCTTTTTTTAAAAAAACATTTTTTTCAAATAGAAGGCAACGGAAATCATCAAAAATTTCGGCAAAAAAAAAATTTTTCTGACGAAAATTGACTTTTTCTAAGCTATTTAACATTTTTCAAAAAGTTTTTGGTTTTTTGAAGTTAATAAATCATCCCGGCGTTCTCATCAGAACTGAAACAAAAGAAAAATAATGGATTACATACCAAAGAAAAGTTCCACGTGCATTAACTGAATGCATTAAATCATAACGTTTCATTGGTGTTGACGTTGTATCCGTTAAGGAAATAGCTGATGCATTATTAATTAAAATATCAATACCACCAAATTTTTGTGCAGCTTGTTCAAATGCTTTAATAACTTGTTCTTCATCACGTACATCAACAACACATGGTAAACATTTTCCACCAGCTTTTTCAACTAAATAACCAAAAACAAGCCATTTACAATGACGAAAAAAAAAAACAATACATTTTTCATAAAAAAACAAATATATTACTTTCTTCAGCAGCTGTATAAATTGTTCCTGGTAATTTTGGATGAGGTTCAGTTGTTTTAGCAGCAACAACAATATTAGCTTTATCTTTTGCACATCGTAATGCAATTTGTTTACCAATACCACGTGATGCTCCCGTTATGAAAATTGTTTTACCTGCTAATGATCTTTAAAAATACAAGAAAAAATTTTTCCCTTTACTTAAGAATTATTTGACTTACGGCATGAGTTTGCAAAATGTCAAATTTTAAAGATTAGAAAATCTTATCTGAAGAAGAAAAAAAAGAAATTTATAAAAAACGCTCAAGAAATTGTGTATATGTTAATTTAGCTTCCGATGTCGTCGGAATAAAATGACCACCATCATGTCGTAATATTTCAGCATTTTTATAATATTCATTTGCTAAATTTTCTGACATAAGACAAGGTATAACACGATCACCAAGTCCAACAACATGTAAACTAGGTAAATCAATTTGAAGATTATTATACATAAATTGATGTTGTTCTTGACCACTTTTAAAACTAGCAACTAATATAACAAATCGAAAAGGATATTTTGTTGAAGCAAAACGAGTAAGTAGTAATGTAGCAAAAGCAGCCCCTTGTGAAAAAGCTAATAAACCATCGAAAGGTATTTGTTGTTCATCGATATATTTCATTACATATTCTAATGATTGTTCAAAACCTTGATCACATGATGTTGTTGCTAATGGATCATAGGTTTGATCACATGAAGAAAACCACCAACCTTTAAAAAATAGTAAAATAAAATTCGATTTGATTTCTTACTATTCGTTGGAAAAGTTTTTCTCATTTATGAAACTACTTAATTGTTCCATGCAAAATATACAAGGAAATAAAAGTTGTTTATATGTAAAATTAGATCTTAGCCTATATGAAATTTGTAGGATAAAAGATTCTTTAGATAAAAAAGTAGAGAGTAATTAAAAATGTCAATTATCAAGTTAGGACGTATAACAGATATTAGAAATAATATCAAAATTACTTTCGAATATATTTAATGCTTAACAAAGAAAAGAGGTAATATTACAATGTGAGACATAAATAATAGTATGATAAAAAAAATGAAATATATCGTCGTCCCTTCAATTAAATGGGTTGATTTGCTTTTAGTTAGCGGTAGAAGTTTATTCAAAGGTTTTTTTTTCATATGGATAAGGTAAGTAAATATTATTATCAACTAAGAAAAATATATGGGTCACGTTTCATAGATAATTTTCAGTTGTCGTCTAAGAGAATAAGAGCAAAAATTCAAAACGAACTTGATGCATAAAGAGTGCCCCATAAGTTCTGAGTCTCAACGAAAATTAGTTTATATGTAAACACAGAATTATCATCACCCAACTATGTCTATATCAGTTTCGAGTACTTATGATGATGTTGTAAAAATGACCTTATCTCTTTTAATAATAGTGATACAAACAGAAGAAACATGATAATTAGGGTGTGGGTACAGAGGATAGCCACACCTACACTTTAGATACTATGTATCGCTTTGTATAATTGTGTTACGTTACATACGATGAATTCACAGTTCATTAAAACTTCTTAAAAAAAAATACTGGCCGATTTCGAGATTTTAATTATCAGGGTTCTTCTATATATATCACTATTATTCAAAGATATAAAGTCATTTAAAACATCGTCCTAAGTACTTGAAGTTTATATAAATATAGTTGGGTAGAGATAACTCTTTTTTCACATATAAACTAATTTTCGTTGAGATCCAGAACTTATGGGATACCCTTTATAAAGCAAATTTTTAAAACTAGTTCGTTTAAAAGTCAACGAATAGAAAACTTTGAATTTTCAAAATATGGTACATTGGTCTTTACAAGGAAGTTGGCGTCCAATAGGCTAAAATAATGTGTTTTACTAATGAAGCCGAAATTTTAGCATTTAAACTGACTACTAGTTTTGGAAACTTTCTCTGCGTGCATTAATATAATTTGTTTTGACTTATTATTATCATCTTCAATACCGAGTGAAAATTATCTATGAAACACTTCATATGTATTTTTCTCACTTGGCAACAAGTAAAATTTCTTTAGTGAGGTGAAAAATATAACTGGACAGTAGTATTTGTTCTCGTTATGCGTATGACAAAAAAAAAACTTTCAATAAGCTTCTACCACTAACCAAAAAACAAGTCCATACGATCAAATCGAAGTGGATACATTTCAATTTTTTTTATTGTAGTGCTATTTATGACCTATTCTGTATATTACAAGAACATGTCTCTCTCTTATAAATTCTATGATGACAGTAAGAATTATTTATTCGAAAATGTTACACTAGTTATTTACTCTTATTCGTATAAAACTATAACAATCAGATTACAATTGATATTTATTTATAGCTAATAACTGAAAACACTTACTATATATATATAGCTATGTACTCTCCAATTATTTAGTTTTTCTTTCAAATCCGTATGTCAACTCATTGACTAATAGTAAACCATAGAGACTTTCTTGTATTTATTATAATAATTAAGGCCCCCCCCCCACTCAAAAAAAATCAATTTTCGTCAAAATTATCGAAATTGAGATAAATGCATCGGAAGATAGCCCGTCTTCTGCTCTTTCAGAAATCATATTGGTTTTTCTTCGGCACCTCGTTTTTGGTCAAAGTTTTCGATGATTTTTGTTAAGCTCTTCTTGAAAAATATGCTTATTTTAAAAAAAACGAAAAATGTTTTTCGTTTTTTCTCAGTTTAGGCTTTCTGAACCGCGCAATCCATTTTTCTCTGTCCAGGCTCATTCAATATATTTTAATTTTTTTTTGTTTGAAAGAGCACGTCAAGATGCAGTGCAGTACAGAGTCCTTTTTTTAATTAAGCTTTATTTTTTATTATATATACAGTCATATATGTAATTAGACACCCATTTTTGGCGCGTTTTTTGAGTCATTGAACTTGTGATTCCCTTTTTTCGCTAAAAAAGTAAGAATTTAAAAAAAAGGACTCTGTACTGCACTGCGTCCTGAGATGCTCTTTCAAACAAAAAAAAAATTAAATACATTGAAAGAGCCTGGACAAAGAAAAATGGATTGCCAAATGAGCTATTTTTGGCCCTTGTTTGCTTCATATCTCTATCAAACATTAGGGTATCGAGCTGAAAATTTTATCACAGCCTCCTCACTTCAGCCCCAACATATGCTCCAAGTTTCAGCCCATTTAAACTTTCCTGGGCTGAGATCGATTTTTGAGTGGTGGGGGGGCCTTAAACAAATCAATCTTTATTTACTTCCTCATCGGATATTTGTATCATAAATGTATTATAACGATTTGTCAAAGTTTGTTGGCGTCACTCATATGATAGTGCACAGCAAAAAAAAGATTTTCAACTATAATTCTTATTAAAAAAAAAATCTTCTTTTGATATCTGAGAAAATGATGAGTTGTTAAATTAAAATTTTTCTTTTTTTCTAAGTTTTCTAACGAATTAGTCTACCATTATTTTATATCCAACATCTCTATCACAATACCCCTTTCATTTGACCGATTTGATGCTGTCGCGCCAGTATCTTGTTCATTTGTATTATCTTGTATTGGAATAAGATGTGGTGCATCAATATAAACGAATTCAGCCACATATTTTTTTAATAATTTTCTAAATGATCCTGTTTTTTCTCGAAATATATTTCCATTTTGTCGATAACCATGTAAACACAATATACGTAATAGTGTCATACTAAAATAAGACACAACTGAATAATAAAACAAACAACTATATTTTAGAAGGTCTTTTTATTTTCAAATAAAACTTAGAGGAATTTTTGTTATATATATCTATCTATGACAAAAACGAACTATCGTCATGTATAGATGAGATTATGATTAAAGCAAAAAAAAAAGCAACAACAGATATGAAATGTTAGTTTTTTTTTTTTCTTTTATTTATATAAATAAGCAGATTGATATGGATAAAATATTGTAATCTTTTTTTTTCTAAACTGATTTAATAACACGCATTCGAAGTTGATCAAATTTTTCGCGTAATTCTGTTGTATTGAAACTAAAATATCAAATATAGAAAATATATGATATGAAAAAATTTAAATGAATATTTACTGCATCCATTTATCATAAATAATTTCATAAATTCGTGTCATATAAATTTCAGTTACATATGCTAAATTAGCAGTATAATAACTTGCCCAATCAAATAAAATGTTTAAATGATGAACACTTTTAGTAAATATAATTATTGATATTTGCTGAATCTATTAATGAAAAAAAACTATTTTCAATTACATAACAAATGAGAAATGATATGATAATAATTTATCGAATCAGAGTGTTTATGCTAAATGCGTCGATTTTCAATAGTGACGCAGGAATATTCTCAAATGTCCAGGGTGTTTTACATAATTTTGTCCTATGAACATAGAATCATTGAGAACCTATGTGATCGAATTTCGAGGTGAAATTTTGTCCACAGATAAGCCTTATAATCACTAGAATCATTCCGAGGATATGTTCGTTCTTATTCGAATATCGGAATGTTTCTAGGAACTATAAGACCTATCTATGGATAAAATTTCGGCTAGAAATTCGAGCATCGAGGTTCTCAGCGATGCTATGCTCGTAGGCGAAAGTTGAGTCAAACGCCCATAACTCGACAAGTGAAGACCGAAAAACTTAACTAAAAGAAGCTTTTTTTACGACTCATCATGACTAATCGACTGGTAATAGTCTTAGACAAAAAGCAACCGAACAGTTGGCGAAATTCCCTGATAAGATCAGCCAGAAAGCGATAAAGTATTCTAAAAAGTTACGTATCTAGTAACTTAACATCTTTTGCGGGTAGAACTTTTCGAACTCGCTCTCGAACCGACGAAGTTCAAGTTGAAATTGTCCACGGGTCGAATTGCATGACTCTACAGTAACTAGTCTTCCTCTTGCAATGGAATATATTTGAGTATAATGTCTGAGAATGATTTCAAAAGGATTCTATCTATTATGGATTTCCATGAATATCTCGAATATCAATGCCATAGTTGTTTCCATTTTGGTCTCAAAAAATGAAGATGTCTAATTTTTCATGCTTAAGCTCTTTCTTACAAATAGACGTATCATGGTATTTTTCGTTTGTATCAAATTTGCAAGAATAAGCAGTTTTCTTTATAGAAAGCAACTGAATATGGCGATAAATCGATACAAAGAAGTCGTCTCGTTATCGCAAGTGAAGATATTAAATCTATATTTTTCAATCAAATATTCATCTGATCGATCTCTTATCGTTTTCGATGGCATAGAAACTCAGTAGCTAGAGACCTAAGTTGGAAAAATAGATATGATATATTCACTTGTGATATCAAGATGGCTCCTGCATATCAATTCATACTCATATCAAGCTGCTTTCTTCAAAGCAAACTGGTTGTTCTTGCAAATTTTACAAAAGTGAAAAATAACATAATACATTAACTACGAAGAAAGAACCTAAAAATGAAAGTTAGACATTTTTTTTTTTGACAATCAAAACAGGGGCAGCTAACATATTTATATTCGAGATCTCTAACAGATAGAATGCTTTCGAACTCATTCTCAGAAGATGCACTCAAACATGTTTCCTCGTTATTCTGTCTATGACAAAATAGTCCTTTAAGAAAAGTAAATCAAAATAAAACTCTATCGAAATCTTTAATTATTTTATTTTTTTGATTAAACTTATCTACCAATACATACTTGCTCAGCAATTTCAATACTTTTATCATAAATAGGTCCTTCAATATATTTTAATAAGAAAGCCCATTGTTTTTGAAGATATTGACCAAATTTAATTGCATATGGCTCAATATTTGTCATAGTTGAACGAAGATATTCTTCACCATATCTATCAACATACATAAATATAAAATTCAAAAAAACACACACGCACGCAAATGCTCGTACTTTAATGATAATAAACATAATTTTCTTGTTTCTTCATATGCATCAGATAAACGATCTTTTATTATAATAGCAGTAGGATGTTTGAGATAATCTAAAATTCAAATATATGATTTAATTTTCTAACATGTTTTTTTTTTCTCGTACCTTCAAGTAAATAATCTGCAGCAACAGTTAACCATAACCAATTTTGATATATAAAAAATGAAATAATAAGTAAAACAAATAATTTTAAAATAGAGGCAATTTTAAATTTTGAATGCGTTTGACGTTTATTGTTTACAACAACTGTATTCTAAATGAAAACAAAAAGTTTTCTAAAACAAAAACAAAAAAAGAATTCTTCGAATTAATTACATTTTTTGTGTAAGCACGTAAAAATTCATTATGTTCCACATTATCATTCTCTTCATTATTAATAATTTCATTTGATATTGTTCGAAGTTGTTGTACAATAGTACGAAATTCTTTTGAAGTTGATAAACCAGCAATTGTTGTTTCATTTGTATTTAATAATGATAAAAGATTTCTTTAAAAAAAAAAGAAAATCAGAATTATTAATAAAAGATTTCTTTTTTTCTTTTTATTTAAATATTTACAATGAACTTTGAGGATATTTTTCATGATATGATAACCAAGTTTTAATTATTGATTTATTCGTAAAACAAGCGACAATCATACGATCAAGCTAAAGAAGAAAAACAATTCATTCATTAATAAAGAATGACATAGAAAAAAAAATTAAATATTTTTTTTTACAAGTAATTGACTCTTTGATGATCGTTGTTTATCAGCATGAATAACAGGAAAGAGAACTTTAAAATATTCATTCGAATGTTGAGATAAATTTTTTGTATTATTCAAGAATAAATCCTATTATTTAAAAAAAAAATTGCAAAATAATTTCAAATAAAATTCATTTTTTTTACGCAAAGAATAGTTGCATTTTTTGAAAGTATTGTACGCATATCTCTTGTTAATGCAGGATTTGGTTGATCAACAAAATCAAGAAGTTTGATATAAGATTCAATTGGAAAAATTTCATCTGATTCAAGAAATCTTTTATTTTTGGAATTTCGTCTAAGATAATAAATTATATTAAAGAATTTTTTTTTTATTTGAGAGAAATTTACGTTGCAATTTGAGTTAAATTTTCCACGATAAGTTGATTATATGTTCGATTTTCAATAAATGGAAACATCAAACAAAACCAAACTAAAATAGAAATAATTAATCGAAGGTATTGAATATACTGAAACAAAAAAATTGTGAAGAAACTATTTGATAACTTTCTCGTTGTATATTAATTAATAATAAAGAGATAATTATTTTATTTGTCTAATGATAAAGTTTATTTTTAATAATCGTAAGAAAATATAATATATTAAGAAACCACCTCCCTCTTTTTGATCATTTCTGAACTCGCTTATGATCCACGTTGGACTTTGTCAGATCGGACTGTAAATTTCTTTGGAGATGCCTTAGACTATACTTCAGAAATGATTTTAAAGTTATTTAAAAAGCTTCCTATCTATTTTTATGAGAAATACGTAAAAGTTTGGATTTAAAATCGAGATGCTGGCATTCAGAGCTTTCTAAATCCTAATAGAAAAGTCAAAAACGAAAACGGCCGAAGTGTAGTCTCTGAAAAATACTTTCAAGTATTCGTGATTAAAATCTCAGCTCAATGAAGAAAAGTTACATGAGGGTCGTAAGCAATTCCAACGAAGTAATCGGAAAAACCAGGTTTTCTAGAAAAAAATAGTGAAAGCCTTGTTTAAAATTTCTTTTCCTCGAATATGTCTCCCCTTATTTTAGATGCTCTATCTAGGATAAAAATTTCATGCAGATCGATTGTACTCTCCTCGACAACTAGGAATGGCCAAAACAGAGAGAAGCACCTTTTAATGTGATTGATAATTTTGTAGTTAGAAACGAATGCTCATTTTAATAAGATTATCTGAAATTTTGCTTAATCTTCGATATCTATACAAAAATAGTCGCTAAAATCAAATAGACTAGTACGAGATTAACTCCTTAGTTGTTAATCTTTTTTCTTAAAATTAAACAGTAAACTTTTAAAAATTTAAAATGTTTAAGAGTAACATAAAAATTCTCTCGATAAATATATTACAAGAGCAAATGTAAAACAATTCAATTTTACAGTAATAAGTTCGAAAATGAAAGTTTTGTCTAAAATTTTAGAAGAATTTTTGTACCTAGAATCTTTTAAAAGGTCTTTAGGTATGTATAATTCACTATATACTCATGCTTATCATTGTTATCGATAAAGGAAATAGCAAAAAAAAAAATAGAAAATAGTACAATAAATTGAGAAGCAGATATCAGTTCACGAATGATGTTAAGGAAAAGCTATATGAGATATAAAAAAATCTATTCTTGACAAAGAGAACGGTAACGGATATGAAATATCAGAACCGGTAGATTGAGCTCCAGTGAACGCAGGACGTTCCAGAGTCCACAAAGAAAGCAAGGTTAAGTACTTGTAGTCTCGATTTCTTCTATGAAGATTACTTTGATGTATATATAGATATATATGTCAATAAAAGTTAAGAGATTAAATCTTTTTGATTCTAGAATTGTTTGGATCATGAAAATGAATATCATCGATCTTACAAAAGAGGAAATCCTTCCGGGTATCAAATTGTTGTTTTGCACCGAGACAATATTCGTTTGATGAGTACTACTGTGATATAGAAAAGTTCAGACCGATTTGGTTTCCCGGGTCTTCGTTCTCGAAATTTTACTGGGTTACTCAACAAAAAACTGTAGCTCCCCTTAGGTCACATAGCAGTTTCCGACTCGGGTCAAGTCACAAAAAATTGAGCGATTTCGAGTTTCACATAAAATAAATGGCAATTTGAGATGTGATAATGATTCCTTTACTCTAATTATTGAGAGAGCATTTGTAGATTCAGTAAGAGGTGCTTAATTTCTATAGAAATTTTGCTTCGATTATCTGGAAATTATCTGTCGACCTTAGGTTGGATCCAATCATGCTCGGCTCGGGTCGAGTTGGGTCAAGCCATCCTCAGGTGGATTGGGCCGAGTCAAGCTATGCTCGGGTGGGGTCGGGTCACAAAAACAGTGACTCATGTTGGGCATTGTCACATGGAAAATCAACTTTCAAGTTTCGATTTCAAACTTGACACAAACAAAGTTCTTAATGAGATTTATTTATTAGACATGTTGTAACTTTTCTAGTATCTTTTATGCTAAAATATTCAATATTCGACATTTTCTTATGTGTAAAAACAAATTTTGTTCATATATTTACATCTCGGAAAAGAAATCACTGGAAAAGCTAGAACTTGTGCAATAAACTAATCTCATCGAAAACTTTGTTCATGCCCAGTTTGAAATCGAAAGTCGATTTTTCAAGTGACCCGAGGAGCATCACAGCTTTTTGTGGAAAAACCTAGGAGAATCTCCATATGTCAAGAACGAAGGACCAAAAAACCAAAGCATTCTGAATTTTTCTATTACACTCTAGAACTCATCAAATGAATATCGTCTCGGTCTGACAACAATTTTACACCTGGAGAGGTTCTCTCGTAAGGTGCTTATTTATTATTATGCTTGGACTAGGATCACGATCATTTTGTAATGGAGTTTATTGTTTCTATTGATTTTAGTGTGTCTATTCGATTTCGATAAATTATCCAACCCATATAAACTTACTGTCTAATGCTAAACCAGGATGTTCATATAGTACTTGACTATAAGCCCAAAGTAATCGAAGTACTTTATCTGATGGATATCGTTTAAGTAATGTTGATAACTAAAAATATAAGAATACATATATATTCTTATGATTTATTTAATAAAATCTTAATTTACTTCATCAACTTCATCAAGAAATGAATCATCTGGTCGTTCATCAAGATTTCGAAGAAAATATTGTAATAATACTTGATAACCAACAATACTCTGAATATCTAAAAATCAACGAAATAAATTTGTCCTAAAACAAACTCAGGAAAATAAAATTTGCTTTACCAGCATTTGGATTAAGAATACCATTTCGACAGAGTGTAATAGCTTTTAATTTTGATTGTATATCAAAAATTTCATTTAAATAATCTTTAACTGATGTTGGCAATGTATTCAATGGATAATCTTTAAAAAAAAGAACAAATCATATTCAAGACTTTTTTCTTATACTGTTAAATTACCTTGATTTGCTTCCTTGGAAAATGTTGGATCATTTAAACCGGATGTCACGTCTTTAAATTGTTCAATAAACCAATAACAAACTTTTTCAACCCATAATGATGTATTATCTTTTGATGATTTATATAATTGTTTAAGTTTATCAACATTTATCTATTAAAATATGCAACTATATAAAAATTTAATTTATTAAAATTTTTTAACTAACATTTTGAAGTGCTTGTTTTAATGTTAATGTATTTGAACTTGGTTTATTAGGTTTAGTCATTTTAACCGATGGATTCTTTTCAATAGATGATGCGACAGGTTTTTGTGTTTTTACTTCACCTTGTTGATTTTCATTATTTTCACCTACTATTCGATCTTTCATAGAACTAAATGCACTATCCGAAAGTTTAATTGCTAAAAAACAATAATAATAAATCAAATATTCGAATTTGATTAATAATAATGTAAAAGAAATACTTTTGACTTCAGCTTTTGGCATAACAGGTATTCCCGATGGTTTAGTAGAAGATGAAGCGGATTTTGTTTTTGTTTTACCTGATACTGTTGTCCAATTTGTTTCGTTATTAGGCATTTTTAATATATACCCGAAAAAAAGAATATAGGTAAAGTCTAAAAAAAAATATATATATATATTCAACGTTATGCTTTCAAAACAAAGAGACTATATAATGCATTGTTTTACTTTATCATGATTGTGTGCGTGTTATGCAGCGTGTCCATACTACTGCTCGAAAAGTGACTGGTAATTTTAATGTAACCAATGGAAAATTTTGGTCCTTTTTTTGTATATATTAATGGAATATGATCTAATATAAGAATTTATGGATCAAAACAATACCTGTTGATTTCCTCGAGCAAATATTTTTTTTTAACTTTAGACATAAAGAAAATATTTATGAAAATTAAAAAAAAAAAACAAAGAAGAGAAAAATTAGAGGTGAATATGAATTGAAATCAAATCACCAATCAATTCGAGCGATAGATCATCAATATTTTATTGGAAACTTGTGTATTAATAAATATGCTATAGTTTGAATAAATTGAAAAATCAAAGAAAAAGCTAATTATAAAATGTCTTCGCATGGAAAAAAAACTATCATAACGTCAAACAAATGACATCATTTTATTTTTTTTTGCTGTCTAATGATCAATAAGCATATCATCAAAACCTTATTAGAAGTTTTCTTTTGAACATATTAATTTATCGTTGGAATACGAACGTAATCTATAGCGTGAAAGTCTTGGTACAAAATATTTGCTCCTTGTTCGGCCACTAAAAAAGACAATTGATTAGAGTTAGTTAGAACCAGAATTTTTTGTTGTGTCCAAATATATATTTAAATTTTCTTTCTATGGTAAGATTGAACAACTAGTAGTAAATTTAGTGGAAAAGTCTAAGACTATGTCTGCACACAGAAAAATAGCGGTTTCGACGCAGTTCTTAGTTTGTGTCTTGGAATAACTTCAACTCAACGTTATTGTAGAGTACTGAATTCTGTAGAAAATGAGATATTACAATAAACGAAATCTTATCTATGCGTTTCTACTAAAGAGCTAGTTTCTATAGGAATCACTGTTTCAAAAACTACTTTTAAAAATACAATCTCTAATGCCAGATAAAAAAAGAATAGTAGATAACACGCTTTGTAGAGCGAATTTTACTCTATAAAACTGAGTCATAAAAAGCTGTTTCATATTTAGAATTTGATAGGTTTTAATTGAAATATAAAATTGACTAAAATAATATTCTGTACAACCATTAGCTTGGACGTTTTGAAACAATCTGATGATAATGGTTCAATCTTATCCCAACAGGAAATTATGAATACATATTCGGGAAGAGCGATCACCTAACTAATTCTCGCTCAAATCCGCTGTCTTCAAGTGACCGAAAAATAAATAAGTATTTTGTGTCAAGACTTTTGCATCATAGATTTTGTTTAATCAATATTTGCACAAATCGAAAATTGACAAGAATATACGATTCATACTGTGGATTGACATTTTTCTTCTCAATATATCTGATACCTGTGTACGCTGTTATTATTAAAGATTGATTCAATTTGAATTACTACAATGTCAATCGAAAAGTGAAAAAGTTTTATAACAGTTATGCAAAGTCATCATATCACTTGCAGAGTGTTTATTTATTTTCTTTCAAAGTAGAACTACAAATTTTCACATTCTCATTTATTCTATAATTATATTTTGATCTTCTTTCTATTTCAAATCTATTATTAATCTTTAACAAAAAACATCCTATTCTTTAAATACAATACTTTTCCGTAAATAATGATATTTTATTTGTTATTATCAATCACCAGATTTAATTGATTTCCAAAATAAGAAAAAAAATAACAATATTTATATACAGACGAGAAAAAAAAATAGCAAAAATTCCAGATCAAACAAACAGAAAAAATATAATGTTCCCCTTATTTGTTTTGCAGAAACAAATTTTGTCAGAAAATAATAGCCAACAAAATGTAAGAAGTTGATATGATATGAGTTAAGTACATAAATATATGATAATTTTAACATTATATATAAATAAAGATACACAAATAATGATGCACAGAAAACAATAAGAATAAATAACAGACAATTTCAATTTAAGTTTGCATGCCACTTAATGATAATAAATGTTGAGTTTGTTTTAATGGTTTTTTTTTAATTTTATGTTCAGTTCTATGAATACCATTTTCTTTTATTTTCGATAATGGTAAATCAGGTACACGCTGAGAACGATTAGGATTTGAATCATTTGAATCAGTTGATAATTTTCGTTTTTTGATACCATTACAAATAAGTGAAATATCATTCATATTATCACCATCGTTATCATCATCATCATCATCATTATTTTCGACTTGTTTAACTAAAACAAAAAAAAAACAATTTAATATCGAAAAACTAAAAATGAAAAAAAAACACACTATTATAGAGTTTTTCATATTCGTTATTAATATATTTTAATTTTCGTCGTAAATGAACTAAACTACATGTTGACCACAAGCACCAAATAAATAAACAAAGTATTATAAAAAGAATTAATGGAATCCATGCTTCAAGTTTTATTAAACGAGATGACATTTGAGTGAAATTTTCTTCTAATCGATTTAAATATTCTTCTAAATTTTCTAACTAAAAATAAATATTAATCAAAAAAAAAAATTATCAAATAAGAATCAAAATAATAATGAATTACTCTTTCATCAGCTGCTTGTGATGATTTTAGAAGAAGATCAGTTGTCTGTTGGGTTTCATCAAGTTTTTTTCTATAGAAATAAAAATTTTTATAGAGAAAAGCCATCATTTATTATTAAATAAATACATACACATAATGTTGACTAAGCTCTTGTAAATATCGATTACTTAATGTTAAATTAAAATTCAGTTTTTCAATTATTTTAAATAATTCTGGTAATGATTTTGTATTCAGTAACATGCTTTTAAGCCATGGACTTGAAATAATAGGTAGTATTGCTTCGTTATTATTATTATTTATTGTAGATGATGATGAAGATGTTGTTGTTGTGGTTGTTGTTGGTGGTGGTGGTGTTACAGTCACAATCTCATCAATGTTATTACTATCAATCGAATTTTCAGTTAAATTAACATCCATATTAATTGTTTCAATAGTAGACGATTGGGAAGAACTTTGATTCGTTATATTCGATGATATTTGTGATTCGGGCGCCATAAATGTTTCGTTTGAAGTATTGTTCGAAAAATTTTGTTCATTAGCACGATTTAGTTTATGATCAACATGAGTTTCGTTCAATAAAGTATTGTTAAGTTTTAGCATAGATTTATTATTAGACAAATTTTGACCTAGGATAGATATTAGAATAATATATAAATTAGATGATTGAAACAAGACATTGCGGATTGACTCAAACTTCCATTATTCATTTACTTGTGCTTGTTTTACATACTATCTTATCTCAACTGTCTGTTGGAGATTTCTTAGACATCTACAAGGTCCTAAAAATGCATTACAGAAGTGTGTGGTGTCTCTGGATTGTCGGTGGACACGGAGTCGTGCTTTTAGGTTACCCACCTACGAGTAAGGTATTAAACATATCTGCCTAACGAGCAAAGTCAAACAAAATGCATAAATAGAAATAAGTTTACGTTATTCAGTGGATAAAACGCGAGATCATGTCTACAAAAAGTGAAAAAAAATGCATCGACAAGTAACTTAAGCAACAACCTCCCTGATCAAAGAAGCTGAATCTCCTACACTATATCTATAACAATGGGCATCATCGAAACTAAGTCGTTGCGGCCTGGAGATACTCTCTGGAACAAAAGTCAATGTACGACATCATCGACAATTAAACAAAACATTCCTGGAATGAACATCACTGCATCTTCTACAGCGCATAAAGACTATTTCTTCTTTCTTCTATTGTACTATGTTTGATTTTCACCTCACATCGATAGGTAAGAGTAATTAAATAATAAAAAACAAATTTATCACAAAAGTCGATGTATGTCACAATATAAAATGTGTAAATGTTTTGTATTTTGTTATGACTAAGATAAAACACTTTCGAAGAAAACAGAAACTATTTACTACAATTTAATATACTTATCTATTAAATAAATTAAATTTTTTGTCAAATATTTCAGACAATAATGTCTAGTTGACTACGAAAGATTTAACCTAAAACCTATTAAAAATAGTTCTATTACTGTACAGAAATAGATGAAGCTGTCTCGTGCTCATGCTCAAGGTTGTACACTTCGTACGCTTCTTTACTTTCTCGGTAAACACATTTCGAAAGTGCGAAATCGTATCTTCGATGGAATTTCAGCAGGAATAGAATCATGATATAGAGCAACATATACTGCATGAAAGTTTGTATAATGTTGCATAGGTATGCGCTAGATAACTACGTCTATCTCTATTACTGCATTTGTCTTCATAGGATAAGAAAAATCTACTCACTAATACGGTATCATATGAACTTATCATAACGCTTTAAAAAAAAGAAAACATTTGTCCAAACCCGAAAATTGACATGAAAATGTATTTGATGAATTAAATTAAGATGAATCTCTTACTTTCATCAGCAATCATTACAGTATCATTAGTAGAAATAGTTAAATTTTTTTCACTAATATTCTGATTTAATTCAGCATTTACATTTATTGTTATTGTGTCATTTAATTCAATTAATTTTTCTTTTTTACATACAAATTGATTTGTTATTATATGATAATATCCACATGGATTATTATATAGATTTAATGTTGATATCATTTGATTATTTCTATTCGTATTATTATTTATCATTAATGGACATTGACAACAATAATTTAATTTATAACAAGTATGTAATAAATATACAGTACATGTATCAAATTTTGACCATGTACCACGAAGAAATTCAGCAATACATTGTTTAAATGTATCCCTTAGACGCCATGTATTAATGCTATCATTAGTTATTGAACCATGTAAAACGGCTTGATGACAATTAGTTTTTAACACATTAATTTCTGTTATTGGCATTGATGTTGTTGATGGTATACCACGTGTAGTTTGTCGACGAAAAACTCTTTTTGCTAAATCAAGTATAGCTGAACCAATAATACCACCAACTTGTTGATCATTTGATAAATTATCATTATCATTATCATCATCATCATCATCATTTTCATCTTGAATATTTAATAAAGTTTTTGAATCAATTAAATTTGTATTTTCTTCCATTGTCATTATTTCATCTTCAACATTTGATCCATGTACACGTACAACACTTAATGGACAATAATGTTCATGTCCATGAAAATCTAATAATTCAAATTTAACATATTTCATATAAGTTGTAGATTCCATTGTTTGAAAACTTTGTATTGTACGATTAAATGATGCATTAAATGTACCCAAATGATGACGATTCCAATCTTTTGCAGGATACCTTAAATATTTAACAAATAGAATTTTGGAGAAAAATAATCTATATTATCTTGATCAGTTTTTGTCTTCTTAAGATAATAGTAAGTCTCTTATTTAGATCAACTATTAAAATATGGTATTGTTCTGTTGAGTTATGATGTATAAAGCAATTCATTGAAAGTATAGAATAATATAAGACAATTTTTCAAATGTGATTCTCTGTTTTACAAAATGATAAATATCAACTTTGAAATATTCAAAGGTTTCTTTTTTTAGATTTTCATTGAATCCTTTATGAGAAATAAGTTAAGCGAGTATGATTCCTATATTATATTTTACCGAAGAATATATCATATTTGTAGTGACAGAGCCAGGGATGTGGAAAAGTTGGTTCCGCTCACTCTGAGAGCTTTTGAAAGCTATGTAAAGTAATCCATTATATAGATTAGAATAGACTCAACCCACCATAAGCTGAAATACTGAATCTATCACTACATATCTGTCTGTAAAGATTGAATCGAACTAAACGTAGTATCATATGTTTATACATATCAATATTATTTTGATAATAATAGAAAAATTTTTCAGAAACATTTGCAAATGTTTTTTAAATAATTTTATTCAGTTGTTTTTTCTACAATGTTCATTCGCTTTTGATAAAAATATAATTATTTTGTTTTTTTATCTTAATCATTTTATTCACATCAGAGACCGTCATCAGGACAGGGCAATCTGATGCTCTGCTAACATTTTTTCGTAAAAAGTCATTTGAAATCGTTTCCTAAATGTAATCATGAATCTTTTAGAATGTGTGTCATCTATTTGATTCTACCAGTTAGTGATGATTTCATGTTTTCGATTGGTTTCATTAGAACTTGTATATATGATACTTATTTTAATTTATCATCGTTCAATATGAACTCTTTCAATTTCGAAGACATGCAACATGTCTTATCAAATTATAAGTATGTCAAGCAAATAATAATAAAATGAATCGTGATCTACAGCTAAATGATGATGAAAGATTTTGATTCAATTTAATGATGATATCCACTAATAAAGAATCCTTGTTTTCATTGACAGATATCTTATTTTTGTCTGAATATGTTAATGGTGTCATGCATAGACATCAACGTGACCAAAATTTTTTGGTCACGATCGTTGCCATAGTAACTATGAGTCATGGTAGTCACGCCAGTTTCTATCGGAACGGCTATTTTCTTTTTCTCAAAATAGCATACGCTTCTGTCCTAATAGAAGACCCCCATTGGAGAAAATACATGCGAGACCTAAGAAGATTCCCCTCAGAAAATCCAAGTTTTCGAAGAAAAGTCGAAGTCGAGATTTTACTATAGGAAGATGCACCAAAGTCTCCTCTTTCAGAATATCTATGACTTAGCGCAAAATGATTTGATTTTGACGGACTTATCGTCTAAAACTTGGCTTCTACTATCATATTTTTCGAGAAATTTGTACGGTTTTTTAGGCTGCTTTCTCTTTGCATCCGCATTTCGCAAAGTTTTTTTTATATTAATCACTACGAGACTCTTAACACTTAAGATTAAGATGACATATTTATAGATTGTCCTGAATACTGATATATAATTCAGGTGTGTTTCGCAAAAATCGATTTCTAAAACATATTTAGCCTTTTTCTCAAAATCAGTTTTTTTCGAGCATACCGTTTACGCGGGGAAGGTTTTTTTAACAACGACTCAATAGGGAAATGATAATTTTTTTTTATTGTATAGAAAACAGTTAGGAATAGATCCTCATAGAGCCTGATTTTTGAATTTCTCTATTGATGAAATAAAAAACCTACATATTTCATTTTTATCAGCGTTTTTTGACCATGAATTCGAGAATTTTTCGGAAAAGGTTTTTTAAAAAACAAACAAAGGAAATTTCAAAAATCGGGCTCTGTGAGGATCTAGCCCTAAAGGTGCTCTACAACTTAAAAACCGCTCCGGCATGTTAGCTCGTATCCTGACTGCAAAAAACCTTGCCCGTGTACGGAGTATTTTTGATCAATACATTGACTGTAACTCGTTAGTGCATTGGAGGTTTATGAGGAATATTTCACCCATAATCTATCCTAGTCTAAACTAATATGCTTCGAAAATTCGATTGAAATCAGACGAAAAACAACAAAGTTGGTTTCTGAGGGGTCCTCTTAATTTAAGACCTCATTCAATTGATTAATTTTTCACAAAATGACAACTTCGTTTACTGGATTTACACCGTAATATGCCTAGTTTTCAGAATTTTGAGCTGAAATCTTAACTGAGTGTTTTCAACATTTTATTTAGGCTTTCAAAATTCTAAAAATTCCTCCTCAAAGCCTCAAAATCGCTTTGTCTTTCCGAAGAACCTTTTTAGTTAAAAGCTGTAAAAACAAAGGAGACACAATAGAAAATCCTCTAAAAAACTTTTGCGGTTGGACACAATAGAAAACATTGGGTTTTCTCGTGTGGAAGGGCGAGAGGTAATATAACAGATAAACGAACAAGATTAGGTATTAAAAAAAATTGGTCAATTTATGTTTTTGAGAAAAAGTCTTAAAGTTCTTGAAATTTTATTTGACCAAAGTCTGAATAGAAATGAGCGAAATCAGAACAAATAGAAAAATGATCAATCATCAAGTAGGTCATCTGATACAAGTTAAAAGAGTCAACAATATATGAAAATAACATTATTTTTGTTCAAGGAGACGATAATATTTTTTAATGGTACATTTTTTTCTAAAGTATTTCTATACAAATGATTTAAAATATATTAATATTGGGTATATTTTTTCTGATATTGTGATTGTATTGATTCTATTTCTTCGTTTTGAGTTATCTCAATTAGAAAAGGATATTGATACATATTAAAAGAATACTAAATATAATATTTAATTCTCCGACGAAGTTTGAAAATAGTTGTCATAGAGCTATACTGAAAATATATGGTGACTGGCCGTGACCAGGTTTTGGTCACGGTCACGACTTTTTTCAAAACATGGTCACGATCATGACTCACGGCAGTCACGCCGATGTCTAGTCACGCATTCATGCTAAAAAAAGGCAAGATATTGGACAACAAAAAAAAAAGAAAAATTTCTTCAATAAGAATAAACTAAAATGACACTATTTTTACTCAATTCTAATCTAATTTTTTAGTCATCAAGTTTTACTTTTTTAATGTTAAGATTTTTTTGAATTCTCTCTAATCGCTTAAAAAGGTTTGTCCATTTTTATTAATTAAAATTCATCAATGCATTTTAATCAATACAAGAAATTAGGAAAAAATTCTTAAAATTAGAAAAAAAACCAAAACAGAGACTTAAAATTCGAGTATAATTGAATAAAAATTGTACAATTTTAATCGATTTATAATAGATTTATAATCATTTTTATACATGAGAAACATTCTTTTGAAATTATATAAAAAAGGTATGCGCACTGAATATAAACATGATAAAAATTTTTCGTTATGTCACTAACCTAGTTTATAGTTGACCTCAGTTTACATGAGCTCAAGGCGGCCTGCCCTGTAATGGTCTCTGATTCATATTAGAATATCGAAAGTTATATTTTATACTGTAAAATTTTATCTACCTGTCTGATGAAGAAACTCGGAATGTTTTCGGAACACTTGAAAAAAGTTCAAAATTGGCTATTTCAATATTGAGAATACGAATTGATTCACATAGTTCAATAACAAACCTACGGAAACATTTTAGAGAAATTAATTCAATTGTAGAAATGATTTTCTTACCAAATTTTTGCATTACATGGATTAAGCATATATTCATCAGGTGATGAAGATAAAATCGATGGAACATTTTGTGCTTCAACATTATGTGCAAGAATTTTTGCACCACATGATGCACTAGCAAAATTTTTACGAAGTTTGCCTTTTTTTGACGAACCTGTTGTAGATGTCATTTGCGGGATATTTGTCGATGATGAAATTCCTTTTGATGAACCTGTTGAAGTTGTTTCAGATGGTACATTATTATGATTAGCAATTTCATCTTTTTCTATTTATATATATAAAACAGATATTCTTTAAATTAATTTTATTAAAATAAAAAAAAACTAACTTAATAAATCAGCTTGAAGTTGTTGTTGTTTCCATTCTTCAAATGAATTAATACTTGATCGATTACTTTTGGATGAAGATGGTGTTGCTTGTTGTTGATCATCCGTACTTTGATTGTCTACCATTTGTGGACTGAAAATAAAAATAATAGTAAAAATTTATTTCATTTAATTAATAACATACGAAGCTGTCGGTCTAGGTACTTCATCAATAATATCTGATTTATTTTCTGTTGATCTATAAAAATGATCAAATCATACATTTGAAACAACAAAAACAAAAAATTATTTACATTATCGGTCCATCATTAGCTACTATTGATACAAGCTCAGGTGATTTTGTTTCAGAATTCTAAAATATATAGTTATGAATTATCTATTGATATAAATATTAAATACTTACTGAATCTGATAAAATATTACCATTTGATTGTGAAATATGTTCATCAATAGCATCAGTCTGCTTGTTCTCATCAGTCTATCAAATATAAATTTTTTTCGATAAATAAAAAAAAATAACAAAACTTTTACTTGGCCAGGAATAGAATTTTGTTCGACTGGATCCGTAGAAGTAATTGATGAAATATGAATAAATGACAATAAACTGATGATAAATATTGTTCTAAATATAATTGTTTAATATAAAAATAGTAACAATGTCGAATATAATCATATGACTTACAAAATACTGAATTTTGTTGATCTAATGCACACGCCCATTCATAAAAAAAGAAAATAAATATTAATGGTGGGAGATAATCAGGGACGGAATTTATCTGAAATAGACATGATACACGTCAAAAGTGATCATAGGAATGTTCTACGCAAAAAAAAACATTCTTATTTTTCTTGTTTTTTTCTTTCTTCTTCGTAAAGCTTTAACAATAATAATTGTAACAAAAGAAAACACAAATTTTTGTTTTTTATTGTTCATTAATCAGTTTTGGCAAATGATGGTTCAAGTTTATTGATTTTATCAATAATTTCATCGAATAATTCTTTATATTCAGGATGGGAACGGATCATCAATAAACAACATGTTCGATTGGCACGAATTACACTACCTAAATCTTCTTTTGATGGTACAAATACATATGGAATATTTGCTTCTTCTAAAATTAGAAAAAAAAATACATAGAAAATTTTTATTAAAATTCATTTCTAAAATAGAATAATTACCACAAACAACAGGCATATGACTATAAATATCAATTGGTGTTACATTACCAGCAAATACAACAAGACCTTTTTCTCCACGACGAATATATTTTTGCGTTTCACGTAAACCTAATCGAATATAATTTTTTTGTTTAGCAGCTTGTTTAATACATTTAAATAATTTTTTTGCTAATTTTTTAGGTGCAACAGGCGATGCCATAGCATTCATATATTTAAATTTTTCTTCATAAGTTAGACCTGTATTTTCTGTTTCATTTGTTGTTCCATTTTCACCTTTATTTGCTGTACTTGTATCCATATCTTCATCTTGTTGATTTGTATTATTTGTACTATGTTTTTTATCTTTTGTCATTCTTTTTTTTGTTTTGTTTTTGAAACTTAATTGAGTTTATAGACTTGTCTATAGAAATAGCGGCTATGAATAAATACAATTGTACCACGTGAAATGAGATGATTCATCAATACACATAGATCTGATTGGATAGTATATCTGTTTGAAGAGGAATATATTAGCGCCACTCTTTGTTTATTAGTTGCAGACAAAATAATTCGATTATTGTTTTTGTTGTTGTTATTGTTGTTTTATTTTTGAAATCAAATGAAGAAAATGCGTGGTAAAAAGAAAAAGCAACAACGACAACGTAAATGTCGTGCAAATGAAACAATTAAAAGAACTTCATCAAATAAAATAAACAATTCAAATCGTTCGTCTTGTATAGTAACTAAAAATTTTGAAATATTTGTTACTGATTTTCTAACTGATCCATGTGGTTTACCTGTTGAATTAAGAGACTGTGTTTTAGTTGATGGAACAACATCATTGAATGATACATCAGGTTTTATATAAGAAGAAACAAAAACAAGTTAATAATTATATATGTTTCAATATTTATTTAGATAATTGTTCATCTAATAATTGTCAAGTTTTAAAAAAGATCTTTGGAAATAATGAATCAATTGATCGAATGGTTAAAAATTCTGTTCCATTAATAGTCGATGGTAAAATTTATTTTATCTGAGTTTTATTGTTTTAAAATAATGTTTTGCTTTTTTTTAAAGAGTCATCGGAAAAAGCAAATAAAAGTGAACAGGATGAATATCTGACAAGGATTTAGATATTAGTAGAAGAAAACAAATACACTCAATTATTCTATTGTACTTTTCATGATTGCTCAGGATATTCTATTTTTTTTTGTGAATAAGTGTTCTATTTAATTGCAGCTTTTTTGTCATTCAAATCTGTATACACCCACATATATTCATATAAGAGGTTGCTATTTTTTTTTTGTTTTGCAGTATGTACAGTTAGTTAGCACAAACGTCAATTATGACGAAAATCAACTTTATTATTGAGAATGATCTGTTACATGTCATAATTTCTATCCAATATAAATATATTCTTGCTTGATATATAAGTATGTGAAGATTAAAAAACGTATTTGGATGCCATAAAAAAAACTGTTTTTTTTTGTTTTTTTCGTTGTCAAAGTTACAAATATTGAAACTTTCATATATAGAAAATAAAACGATTATGGTTTATAGATATTTAGGAATTCGATTGTTTTATTTTGATAATATTATTTTATGCAACAAAGTTTTTCTTTATTGATAGTCAAACTTCGATTGTTTACGATCTTGGAGTTATTTAAAATATACCTGGAATTAGAGATTAAACAAGGAAGAAACAATGATAGACATATCAGAGTTTATTATTTGGTTTTCTAAAAGAATTGTCACATAAAAAAATATTAAGATTCACAATTTTAATTAAACCCTTCCACATTAGAAGACCCCGGATCTTCTAATATGTTTGAGTGTGTAAACTGTCTTGAAGAGATTTCTATTAATCAGGGGCCTTCTAACGCGACTTTCATAAAAATCTTTTGAAAATTTTTCAAAAAAATCATTTTACATTTTATATTGCTGTTTTCACAAAAATTACTTTTTTAAACGCGTGCTTATGAGATTTTATGGTCATTAACCGTTACATGCTTATGTAACGTTTCTCGTGTAGGTGACTTGTTCTATGAAAAACGACATAAAAGAAGTGTTGAAGTATATAGGAAAGAAATTTGAATCCACTGTATCTGTCTTCTCCCTCAACATCATGACAGGCACGCTAGAACGTCATCAAAGACCGTGAAGGGTAAAGAATGTTTTCTCCTTCCCGCTACAGACTTTGGTAGACTTCGCTGATACACGATCAAAGACCACACAGCAGTAACATTCTATCAGAATATGTGAACCATTTCTTCTTTGCAATTCTAGAGAATTAAGTAAAGAATAGTAAACCAATGTGTCCCAAAATAAATCGAAATAAAACCATTTTCATGCGATTAGTAACAACAGCTACATTATGTTTCAAATTTTACTCCCGTAAAGATTGCACTAACAGCTTTTTTTTGGCATCATCGAAACAGCGCTTATTCGATTAGACTTCTGTGACCGTCTTAAGTTTCGTCTTTCGATTATACGTTTGCATCTGAGGGAGGACTCAGAAATCTATTAAAGTTCTTGAAAACACAGAGAGATACATATCTTCACTAAAAAAATTACAAGTTTCAGATATCGAAAAAATCGACAGAAATTTGTGTAAAAACTAGACTGTATGAGTGGCATATAGTGTGCTTCTCAGTAGATCGACTTCCTATTCATTCATACTCACCGAAATCATGCATAAGATTCTAATTAAATTAAAGTGATAATTATAAATTATTACATCGAATTCCGATAGTATCTTTAACCAGGATTTTATGACCTCTTATTAGTATACTTAGTCATTTTGATGGCCTTGCCCAAGCACTAATTCGTGCAAAAAATTCGAGTCTAGCACTTTAACAGCTCGAATGCAAAGAGAGCATCGATAAATAATTTTTAAAAAATCTCGATGAACACATGAAGTTTAATATTTGAACTTACTGTTCAACTTTTTTTTTAATTAAAACTAGTATAATCTCACTTTAGGATATTAAAAAATATAATTACATGTAGAAAACGATAATGTTCAAGAAGGAGCATGCAATATCGAGCTTCTGCTGACTCCCGTCAAATAAATAGAAAGTATATCATAATTATCAGATAAGGCTGAACACCTTGTGCCGGCATAGTTAGATATGAAAACAGAAGAAAATTCAGGAAAAAGCTTTTAAAAAATTTTCTTGGTAGATTAAAAGACCCGGGTTTTCTAATACGTTTTTTTAAACTTTTTGCCAAAAGGAATCTTCTATTATGGGAGGTTTAGTAATTATTTCTGAATTAAACTGATATCATTATCATCACAAGCAACATGACAAGATATTTTTTACTTTCACTATCGGCTAGACATATAATATATGTACAAGCTGATACATTCGTATACATGTCAAGCAGAACGATGAAAATAGAACAAAGAGAAAAAACATAGGTCATTCAGAGAGAGAGAGAGACACAGAGAGAACGAAAGATACGTGCTGTTTCTACTAGAAAATATTTTTCAAAAAGCTTTGTCTGGAGACTTAGAAGTATGCCTCAGGAAAAATTAGTACATTTTTTTCATCTTTCTATACTCTTTCGAATGATATAATTTCTATTGAGTTAGCATGGCATCGAAAATTTCGAAGCAATTAATGTAATGAATCAAACAGTAGTAACAAATTCTACAATTTTATGATCACTTTACTTCATCAAATTCAAGTTGATTTTATTTTTACTTGCAACTATCGCTTTTCATTAATGTTATGTCGGACATTGGATTGTTTGCAATACTTTAGTTATTTTTCTAGGAGTTATTTTATAATGAAAGGAATACAATAATAATAAAAAATATGTAGATATTGCAAAAAGTTTTTATATTTTGAATCAGTATAAAATTATGACTGAGTTATCACAATTTAATGAGCATATTATTTATTAGAGTAATACCACAATTTTCCATTGATGTCATTAGTAAAAAAAAACAAAAAAGAAAAATTTCATTTGTCTTGAACCGCTGGAAGTTAATGAACCACCAACCAAGAAAGTTTTCTTTCTGACGAAATCACATTGAAATTTTCAAGTTCAAACACAAAAAAAATCCATTTACTAAAAATATGTTATTTCTTTATGTTTTTTCCATAGTCTTTTCTTATTAGGAACAATACTCGTGAGAAGAATAAATTTAATTAATCGCAAAATATCGCGAACTACTCATTTAATTTACAAGCTAATTCCATGATTTTTACATCATTGAATTCAGCAGACATTTCTATACTCAAAAATGTAAAAAGAGTTAAATGTCTATTTAAAAAATGGTTTAGAAAAAAAGGAAATTATTGACACTTCTGAATAAGATGTTCTAATTGAGAACATTCACTGTACATGTTAAAATGAGAAATACTGATATTGTTAAATTTTCTCCATGAAAAAATTGTATTGAAAAAAAGAATATTAATATACTACATACTTCATTGAAAATTGAAGATAGTAGAACACTCGTTACAGTAATCAATGCCAAGAAAACACCTCAGTATTTAAATACCAACATGATTCTTGGTACAATTTATTTTTCATTATCAAGTTCTATATCACCACTATTATTACGAATGCAACAAACTGTAAACATATATTACACATGATTTTAAATATCGTGTATATCGTGAACGATACACGTCAAGCGAACAATCATTTGAACAGCTACATCAAACTGGTCATTATTTAAAACATGAAATAAATGAATCATTTCGACAACTTCCACCACCTGTGATTGAACAGATAAAAAATTAAGTTGAACATATTACTAATGTACCTAAGAAAAAATAAGTTGAATCAATACTCATTAAATATGGTCAAATTTTTGATACATCTAAAACAACAATAATCAATTCAACTGTTAAATATAGCATAGAAGTAAAAAGGATTTGACCTACTGTTCAACGTTCATACCGAAAGATGTCAACACAAAAAAAAATATTTGCTAAAATGTATAAACAATCTTATCGTGGTATCATTATTAGACCATCATAATCATTATGGTCGTCACCAGTGGTGCTGCAAAACAAAAAGGACGGTATATGAAGATTCTGTATTGATTGTAGAAGATTGAATGAGGTAGCAGAAAAAGATAATTATCCATTACCAGAAATACAACAAAATATTCGATGCTCTTAGTGGCGCAAAATTTTTCTCTAAATTTGACTTGCAAGACAGTTATCATCAAGTACCAATTGATGAAATAGACAAATCCAAAACTGCACTTCTAACAAGAAGCAAATTTTGGGAATATAATAAACAGTATAACCTCTCTAATGTGAGCACTATTGGGACCGGTCAAAAGTGCTCAGTTTAAGGAGGTGCTCATTATTGGGGGTTTTTAGGTCCTTTAATGAAAAGTCTGAATATTCACTTGAGCATGCTTTTCGAGTGTGCAGAGTGATATTATACTTCTTTTCAATAATTTATTCATTCAAATAATAATTTATTTTCTAAGATAACAACCTTTTACAACACAAAACTAAGCTTTTTTAAAATAACTATCAAGTGTGCTTTGTACAGAAGTTTTTTCCAAGATTATTCTTAATTTTTCTTTTTGCTTCATGACATTGATTCGATTCAAAATCATTCAAATATTCTTGTTTACGTTTTAAAATGTTACATACAGCACCAGTTGATATTTTATATTCGGTTCCCAAAGCTCGTTGAGATAAATGACGATCAGAATCTTTTATGAATTCCACTTTTTAAATAGAGGTAAATCGATACGTGGTGACATTATTTGATATTAGGAATTATTATTATAAAAATGAGGTAATGTAACACTGAACAACGTTATTTATACTAAGTAATTTTTTTCTTTTAATTACGTCCGATTAGTCTATGTCGGTCGAGTATGTGGTCTTTGTTTATTTTTAATAAAGCAGACGACATAGAATCATTCTTTTTCTCATTCTATGTGTCAGTTATAGAACATATATTATTCATATTGTAGAGGTTGTTATTGTTCATGGGGCCAATAAAATGCGCTCACTAACAGAATGAGGAGGTGCTCATAATCGAGAGACTCATTTCCAGCAAAATTCGCTCGGGCGGCCTACAGAGCGCTCAGTATAAAGAGTTGGTCATTATTGGGAGGTGCTCACATATCGAGGTTATACTGTAATGCTTCAAGGTATTAAAAATTGACATCAAATTTTTCAAAGAATTGTTAACAAGTTACTTGGAAAATTACAATGGTATTATGCATTATCTTACCATGATGATATAATCATTTATTTCAAATCAATTGAGGAACATTCACACTATTTAGAATAAATTTTATCATTATTCCATCACGCAAACATTCATCTGAACCTAACTAAATGTGAATTTGTACAATGACAAATTAAATTTTTGAGTCACATGGTTAATGAAAAAGGTATTACACCATGTCCAGAAAAAGTAATTGTTATTAATGATAAATCGGTATCAAATAATATAAAAGCACCACCATCTTTCTTCAAAGTGGCAGAATATGACTGGAATCATATAACTAATTTCTCCACATTAGCCCAATCATTATTCAATTTAACAGAGAAAAATGCAAAATTCATATGGGGTGATGAACAACAAAATGCATTCGATAGAACTCAACAATTATTAATATCAAAACTACTGCTTCAATTTCCTGATTCAAACCTACCATATATTATTCAGGTAGACGCATCTAATTAGGATATTGGTGCAGTATTGATGCAAAAAACTGACAATAGGTGAGCAACCAGTTGCATATATATTCCGAAAGTTAAACAAACAACAACAACAAAATTGAAATGCAACTAAGAAGGAATGTTTTGCTATTATTTTATCAATACGGAAATGGAATCATTACGTCGCAGATCGAGATTTTATTGTCCGAACAGACTATCATCCATAATATTGGTTGAGTTACAAATACAACAATAACTCAAAATCTAATCGATGGAAAATGATACTTCAAAATTAAACATTTAAAATTGAACATGTTAAAAGACATAAAAATTGTGTTGCTAATTGTCTTTCTCGTTGCCCAGTTAATCTACCATCTGATGATGAAATCTAACAACGTTCAATTTCAATTCAAACAGAAATACAACCATTAATTGTCGGTGCAGTTACAACTCGTACCATGACTCATCAGCAACAGTTATTACGAAACAATTACAGCCACCTCAATAACAACTCCATCTGCTCAAAAATTAAATCCATTAAAAATAACTAATTAAATTACTATTTTTATAAACGAATAATTGGAAAATTATCAACAGCAAGACAAATCCATCAAGAAAATCATAGAATATATTCACAGAAAAACCCATTTAAAAATGAATAGTACAGTAAAAACTATATATAAAGTCGCAATGCCAATAGATTTCAGGGAATTATAGATGTACCCGTGGTGCCAAAAACTAAAGCTAAAAATATATGATTGGCTTATCATAATTCATTAATGAATGGTGTATATTTTGGCAAAGATTGAACATATCGTAAGATTCATGATCATTATTATTGGCAAAGAATTTATGAAAGAGTTCGATCAATTCAACTGAAATTGTACAGGAACGTTTGGCGATAGAGTTCATAGATCCAATAACATCATCATCTTCAATAGGAAATGAATATATATTAGTTATTACTGATTTATTATCCAACTATGTTATTATAAAAGATACACATGATAATTTAGCTTTACCTGTATCACAAGTATCAGTAGAAGAAGTGATATTTAAATATAGAACTCTATAGTAGATATTAATTGATAATAGTACACATCTCATCGCTAAATTATTTAATGCTATTATGTCTTTATGTGGTGTTTGTCATATATTTACCACACCTTATAATTCTCAATCAAATGATGTTTGTGAACTATTTAATGTATCAATATGTAACAATAAAAGAATCGATTGGCATGAACAATTATTGAAAGTGATATTTGTATATAAAACCAGCCGTCATGTTAGTATAAAATGAACCTCCTTTGAAGTGATATTTGGATGATGATATAAATTACTCTTTAACTTACCAAAAGAAACAACAACAATCATCGAGCCTCGTCAATATGTAAAACAACTAAAAGAACATTTGCAAATGGCTCATACGAATGTTGAGTTCAATCACAAAAACAATGAAAGCAACATTATGATGCTAATGGAATGAATGAAGTTTATTGAATTGGAGATTTTGTTTATATTGAACAGCTGAGATTAAACCACAAAGTAGCATCAAAGCATTCTAGTCTACATCAAATAATTCAACAGCTAAACAACTCCATATATCGTGTGCCAAATTCAAATCATTTACACGAAAATATCAACATACACATTAATCGAACATATCTATATTATCAATCTACACAAAATTAATAAATGCATACATATATATATATATGTGCAATGGTTGTTCAGATAATAAATAGGTCAATAAAGAGTAATCTATATTCCTTACGTTATTAACAAAATTCTCTTTTACTTTAGACTTATGATACAATTATTTTATTTGATACAAATATTTTTTTTCATCTATTTCTTTTTAACGTTATGTTAGATAAATTTTCTTATAAATCCTGATATGTCCGATTTTAATCAGCATAGAGATAGCCTTAAAGGGTGCTCTAACAAATGCGAATTTATTTTATTTCTTCCTCGTCTTCTTCGTCGTTCTTGCGCATATATGTACGTCTTTCTCTTCTACTACAAATCCCTTCTCGAAATATTTAGGGCAATCTTTTTTTTCTGTTTCTCTCTCTTTCTCTTACTCTTGTCAATGTGGACGTGTCTTAAGTGATGAATAATAGCTAAAATTTTCTTAATAAATCAGTGTTTGAGTTATTGGAAAAAAAAAGAACTTTCTTCTTTTTTCTGAATTTTTGCTATAGAAAATGGTCTCTATAACAGTGATCAATTTCTAGAAATATTAGATGATGATTAATTGTATGAAAAAAAGAAAAGCAATATGAATGTCATGAATGAATGGAAAAGAAATGTTTTCGTTATGATTATTAAGTGCAATCATGGTCTTGTTATCATTCTCTATACTGTTTTGCATCTCTTGATTTTCTTATTGATTTATTCTATCATTAATAGAATTTTGTTGTGCATCATGTTAATTTGTTGTACTTTGCTAGTATAGGTGCTGGATGTTGATATACAATTCACATATCCATAGTTCGCACACTAATATGAACAATTGTATTGTTAATTATTTTAAAAATAAATATGAACTAATGAAAGTCATAGTCAACAAGAAGAACTTTATAGAGAGACGTCACGAACATCCATCGTTCGAATGATGAAAGGCTCAATTTTTGCTAAATCGTGAACATAACAAATCAAAGTCTCTGACTCACATCAAGTGATTTATTTTCACCTTGAAGGTTGATCAGGTATTATATTTCATATATTATCTTGTATTTGCTTAGGCTATGCTTCAATAATCATGTTGCATAAAAGTTACCTTATTCGTGCACTAGGAGGTCGAAAAAATATTGCACTTTTTCAAATTATATTTAGAGCCAGTTATAGTGTGTGGGCAAGTCATGTAAAAGTGAGTGTATTTGCCCTGAAAAAATGAATCAAAATACGAGGGACTTATGCACTTTTCTATTGCGCCAAAAAATTCATTTCGTATATAAATGCAATGCAGTGTCTTTTTTTCTGTATAAACAAACAAAGTATTAACGTACACATAGATCGCAAAACTCTGAATAGCTATGAAACAACAACATATTATTTTATTGATGATAATTGCCATGATGGTAATTAATATCTATGGAAAGGGTTTGGAAGTTACAATAAATCCAGGTGTCCTGAGAGTTGATAAAAAGCAGAATGTTGTAGTGAAAGTGGAATATAGCAACCCAACTGATCAAACAATATCGATTTGTAATTGGTGCTTGCAAGGCAATGACTTAGATGCTTCATTATTTAAAGTAACCTGTAACGGTATTCCCGTTGTATATACTGGTCCAATGGTCAAACGACTTCAGCTAACGAAAGAAGATACAACCCCTCTAGAACCTGGCAAAACTATAGTCATTGACACTATAATATCATCAGTATACGATATGACCAAGACTGGCAGTTATTCAATCCAATTTTATATGAGAACTGAAAGTATTGTCTTCCAGCAAGCTCAGACATTGAAGACTAATCTTGTCAATCCCGTTGATAAACCTCCATCCGATACAACGTCGAATTATATTCAAGTGTTTATCGAAGGTCGTCCTAATGTCCAGCGTGAACCAAATAACATTATGAATGTACGTAAAAGAGCAGCCAGTGTTTCTTATGTTTCTTGTACCTCAACGCAGCAATCCGAGATTACCAAAGCGGTCCCTGCGGCTTTTAACTATTCCAGTCTTTCTTTGAATTATTTAACTAACACGGCAGCCTCTGGAACACAGCGCTATACGACTTGGTTTGGTTCATTTACGTTGGCTAATTGGAATACGGTGCAGACACACTTCCAAAGTATCACAAGCGCATTGGGTTCGGCGCCTATGACTTTCGATTGTAGCTGCAAAAAGAAAAGCTATGCCTATGTTTACCCGAGCCAGCCATACAAGATCTTCTTATGTCGTGCGTTCTGGGACGCCCCAATGAACGGTACTGACTCGAAGGCTGGCACAATCATTCACGAAACCTCACATTTCACAGTTACCGCTAAAACGGACGATTTTGCATATGGTCAAACAGCCTGCAAAAGTCTAGCTTTGAGTAATCCGTCGAAAGCAATCATGAACGCTGACAGCCATGAATATTTTGCCGAGAACACTCCTGGGCTCCCGTGACGGACTACAGTCGATTCGAACTGAACTAAGAAGTATTTTTGTGTAACTAATGTTTACAATGTGATATGCTATTTATTTCCTATCCTACAAAGAACTTCTCATTTTAATTTTCTTTTTTTTTCTGTTAAAAATTTGAGGATAAATAGGATACGTTTTTCAGTATCTATAGATTTTTGAATCATTTAACAGAATTTTCATTTTTGATTTTTTTCATGACATTTTATTTATTGCTTAATAAACAGTTTCATTAATAACTAAATAAGATCGAGTTTTTATGTGAAGGTTTCGACAGTTCTGCTATCAATATGGATACATCCGATGTTGATTCACAAGGCAAAGCATTGCTTAAAGAACGAAAAAAGCGAACGTCTATTTGTTTCTTCTAAGCAGAAGCCTTGCCAATGTCTGTACAATGGACAGAATCAGTATTATGAGCGCTCATATCACTGATCATCTGCCTCAATGGTAGTGTATCAACTATTACTTCGTCTTCAATTTTGTTTTTTTTTGTTGTACTCTCTACCGATATAATAAGAGTGGTACCAAGCAAACAATTCTATTTACTGCAGGTTAATTGGAAGCAATGATAAAGGACTCTCTTACTAATAGTCGATATTTTTTTGTATCTTTCTAGATGACTTTCCAATTCACCAGATAATTTGATGATTATTATTAAGTTCACGTTTCTAAGAGCACATTACATCAAATTTTACTGTTCTCTTACAGCTTCAAAATGTTCTTCTTTAATATAATATTGCACTTTTTTAAAATTTTTATCCTCTCTACGTAAATTAACTGAACTAAATGTTGAAGTTGATGGTTGTGAAGATTTAGATATTTCATTTTTTAGATTAGCATCATGTCCATAGAATGTCCTGGATACACCTCATATGCTTTTACCAATGTATTAAGCTTTATAACCAGATTGATTGATTTTATAAATGATGTTAGATAGAAATTCTTAACAAATTGTGTGAGAGAGCACTCTAACAAATGCCAATTTATTTTATTTCTTCATTCTCTTCTTTGTCCTTCTTGCGCATATATGTACGTCTTTCTTTTCTACTACATATCCCTTATCTAAATATCTAGATCAATCTTTTTTTTGTTTCTCTTTCTTTCTCTCACTTTTGTTAATGTCGATGTGTCTTAGGTGATGAATGATGGGTAAAATTTACTTCTTTTTTCTGAATTTTTGCTATAGAAAATGGTCTCTATAACAGTGATCAATTTCTAGAAATATTAAATGATAATTACTTGTATGAAAAAAAGAAAAGCAATATGGATCTCATGAATGCATGAATGAAAAAGAAATGTTTTCGTTATGATTATTAAGTGCAATCATGGTCTTGTTATCATTCTCTATACTGTTTTGTATCTCTTGATTTTCTTATTGATTTATTCTATCATTAAATAGAATTTTGTTGTTCATCATATTAATTTGTTGTATTTTGCTAGTATAGGTGCTGGATGTTGATATACAATTCACATATCCATAGTTCGCACACTAATTTGAACAGTTGTATCGTTAATTATTTTAAAAATAAATATGAACTAATGAAAGTCATAGTCAATAAGAAGAACGTTATAGAGAGACGTCACGAACATCCATCGTTCGAATGATGAAAGGCTCAATTTTTGCTAAATCGTGAACATAACAAATCAAAGTCTCTGACTCACATCAAGTGATTTATTTTCACCTTGAAGCTTGATCAGGTATTATATTTCATATATTATCTTGTATTTGCTTAGGCTATGCTTCAATAATCATGTTGCATAAAAGTTACCTTATTCGTGCACTAGGAGGTCGAAAAAATATTGCACTTTTTCGGATTATTTTTTAAGTACACTTATATTATGTCACCTAGTTATGTAAAAGTCATTGCATGTGTCCTGAAGAAAACAAACCAAAGTACGACAGATATCTGTACTTTTCTATTGCGTTCAAATTCATTTCGTAGATAAATGTAGTGCAGTGTCTTTTTTTCTGTATAAACAAACAATGCATTAACGTACAGTCAATGTTTCTAATTCGAACAGTTTCTCAGAGGTGTCAATAACTTCCTTTTTTTTCTAAACTATTTTTTTTATAAATATTTAAATCTTTTTACATTTTTGAGTATAGAAATGTCTGCTGAATTTAATGATGTAAAAATCATGGAATTAGCTTGTAAATTAAATGAGTAGTTCGCGATATTTTGCGATTAATTAAATTTATTCTTCTCACGAGTATTGTTCCTAATAAGAACAGACTATGGAAAAAACATAAAGAAATAACATATTTTTTAGTAAATGGATTTTTTTTTGTGTCTGAACTTGAAAATTTCAATGTGATTCCGTCAGAAAAAAAGTTTCTTGATTGATGATTCATTAACTTCCAGAGGTTCAAGACAAATGAAGTTTTTCTTTTTTGTTTTTTTTTACCAATGATATCAATGAAAAATTGTGGTATTACTCTAATAAATAATATGCTCATTAAATTGTGATAACTCAGTCATAATTTTATATTGATTCAAAATATAAAAACTTTTTGCAATATCTACATATTTTTTTTTATTATTGTATTCCTTTCATTATAAAATAACTCCTAGGAAAATAACTGTATCGCAAACAATCCAATGTCCGACATAACATTAATGAAAGGCGATAGTTGCAAGTAAAAATAAAATAAACTTGAATTTGATGAAGTAAAGTGATCATAAAATTGTAGAATTTGTTACTACTGTTTGATTTATTACATTAATTGCTTCGAAATTTTCGATGTCATGCTAACTCAATAAAAATTATATCATTCGAAAGAGTATAGAAAGATGAAGAAAATATACTAATTTTTCCGGAGGCATACTTTTAAGTCTCCAGCCAAAATTTTTAAAATATATTTTTCAGTAGAAACAACACGTATCTTTCGTTCTCTCTATCTCTCTCTCTCTCTGAATGACCTATTTTTTTTCTCTTTGTTTTATTTTCATCGTTCTGCTTGACATGTATACGAATGTATCAGCTTGTACATATATTATATGTCTAGCCGATAGCGAAAGAAAAAAAAAAATCTTGTCATGCTGCTTGTAATGATGACGATATCTTTGTTTAATTCAGACATAATTACTAATTTAAAAAATCCTTCTGAACAAAAATAAGATATTTATATGGAATCATATTTAATTATTATTGCGAGAGAAATATTTATTTGAAAACTGAATATTTGAAACCTTATTTATGGTTCAAAAATTATTATTGAATTTCTGATCACTTTGTTTTCTTTATTGATTCAGAAGATCCATTTTTTTGTTATTACTTCTATTGAAATAGATAATCAATGAATACCATGTTTGGAGTAGTCAAGATCAATAAGTTTTCTTTTTCGTCTCTCAATCATTAGTGTAAATATTTGATGAGAGATTCTATTGAAAAGAGCACGTGTATTGTTCAATGCAAATGCTTATACATACGATGATCGAAAGCATTGCTTGTACAAGGGCTAAAACGAAAATATTGCGTTTGTTGGTTAAAAAACCGCTCATTATTTTCACAATAATACTTTAGTACTATGTCTTTCATCCAGTTTGTGAGAAAACATGGTGATTTTCTTATATATCATATAATTTTCAAAACGATTCTATGTGATATCCATGTATCTATATATTTATTTTATCATCTACTATCATACGTACAAGCTAATAACTACACTTGAACGAAAAAGCAGAAAGTGGTCGTGTTTAGTTTATTTCATAGTTCTATTGAACTGGACTAATCTTTATTTTTATGAAAAGATAGAATTCATCCGATGTTCAAATTGCTAGACTGAAATGATTTTACTTTATGAATGATATTCGACAGAATGTGCATGTTTATTTATCAATTATTTTGAGTAAATCACTCGTTTGCTTATGACATCTTTGCGACATCATTCGGTTGTTAAAGTAAAAAAACTTTCCTTCATTTCTGTGTTTCACTTTCTGAATGATTCTATGAGTATTGAGCAACATAACAACGTTTAACAGGTACTACCACTTTAAGAGAGAAGAAAATTTAGATGAAACTAAATGAAAAAAATCGTCAAGCTAGTGCAGATCAAGACATAACAATGGTATCCAGTGGTTTTTCAATTGCAATTTTATGACAATTTATTCTCACAAAAAAGAACCAGCTATGACTGTTCTGATTGATAATTCATTTGAACAGAATGTCTGTTTATTTTGATCGGATCTAGAACTGTTGAGAGTTTAGAAAAATCAACATATACGTTATGAGTCCAATTACAGGCATAAAATAATAGAAACATTATAAAAGAGAACAATGATTTTTTGATCAAAACCATCATACGCTATATCAGCGTGTATGTTTATTGAATGACACACGTGCTCTTTTCAATAGGATCTCTCATCAAATATTTACACTAATGATTGAGAGACGAAAAAGAAAACTTATTGATCTTGACTACTCCAAACATGATATTCATTGATTATCTATTTCAATAGAAGTAATAACAAAAAAATGGATCTTCTGAATCAATAAAGAAAATAAAATGATCACAAATTCAATAATAATTTTTGAACCATAAATAAGGTTTCAATTATTCAGTTTTCAAATAAATATTTCTCTCGCAATAATAATTAAATATGATTCCATATAAGTATCTTATTTTTGTTCAGAAGGATTTTTTAAATTAGTAATTATGTCTGAATTAAACAAAGATATCGTCATCATTACAAGCAGCATGACAAGATTTTTTTTTTACTTCCGCTATCGGCTAGACATATAATATATGTACAAGCTGATACATGTATATACATATCAAGCAGAACGATGAAAATAAAATAAAGAGAAAAAAAATAGGTCATTCAGAGAGAGAGAGAGAGCCGTAGAGAGAAAGAAAGATACGTGTTGTTTCTACTGAAAAATATATTTTAAAAATTTTGGCTGGAGACTTAAAAGTATGTCTCCGGTCAAATTAGTATATTTTTTTCATCTTTCTATACTGTTTCGAATGATGTAATTTTTATTGAATCGGCACAAGATCAAAAATTCCGAAGTAGTTCATAAAGTAATCCGCTAATACATTCCATTAGCAACTATGTGAAACCCTGGCTAATATAAATCAATAGCGGATCTGGTTTAATAACTGTATCTAAGTGAACATTAGCGAGTATTTTATCGTGGATACTTAGAAAAGCTACCTCAAAACTAAGATTTCCTTGAAGGATAATAATGAACTTTGATTTCTCTTAGTACCTTCTGTTGTGGAAATTAATTTTGCTTTATATGAATATCTTCGACAAATATATCATGAAAAAGTGACTAATAATGCTAATCATTTTCTTAAGAGGAAAACAGAAGTAACTGATTTATGTTTAAGTATATAGAAATTTCCGATAATGAACAATTTTATAAATAAATATTATTTCTTTCGTATTTATTCTTGTACAATCAATGTATCATTCCGATCGAAATTAATTAATGTTGATTATCAAAAGTTTGATTCGAATATTTCTGATGTTTATTTTTATTCACCTGTAGCATTTCACGGAAGAAGTATACAAACAACATTTGACATACTCAAAATTTATTTATAGGACAAGGGTTCTTCTTTCAAATTATACGTTTTGATTCATTCTGCAAGTTCTTTTTTAATTCGTTTATATCACAAAAAAACACAAGTCAAGTCAATAATAAATGAAGAAAAAAATTGAAATAATACAAGTGTATTATTTGTAAAATGATTCTATTCATATAAATATATTTTCTTTCTCTCGATATTGCAAAATTTTTCTATGAATAATAAATTATATTTTCAAATATCTGTATATTTTTTGCGTTATGTTTGAAAGGAGAAGAGTAAAAAAAAATGTTTACAGACATATATTTTGAATCTAGAGGAAATAAGAAAAGCAATAAATAAAATATCGAACTAGTCAACATAAACATGAATTAATTCTCCACATGACTGTACGTGAACGGATTATATTGTTTTTTTTTCAAATATCATGAGATTGATAGTAAAGTGATGATCGTTCAACACTAAAATCATACTTAAAATATTCTTCAATATTATATGCTGATAAAATGCTTAATGAATCTAAACCAAATAAATCATTTTCATTACGTTTACTATTCATTCCAATTAAATATTTTGGATTTAGTCGAAACGATATACTATCAAGTATTTCTTTTTAATTTTTTTTTTTTGTAAGAGTGTTTGTATTCGAATAATCAGATGTTTGATAATTTTGTTGTTGTTATGGAGATGTTTGATATGCATGATGACTCAGTGAATGTGGATAAAGATTTGATTGTGTTTGTAGTACGGGTGGTGGAACACGAAGTAATGGTATAAAACCTTCTTTAACACACATTTGCAAACCATTTATATCACCAGTAGATGTATAAAATTGTGGTGGCCCTTTTGAACGGTAAAGAAATATAATATCACATATACATTTCATACCACCTAGTCGTTCGATTATTGTAACACAAATTAATCTTTTATCTGTATCTTTTTCATGTGTGTCTGGTGTGAGTGCTAATACCACATAGTCTGGTGTGAGTGCTAATACAACATAGTCTGCTACTGATGGATTATCACGTTCATTTATAAGTTTTATATCTTCAAGGCTAAGTGTACGCATATCAGCTAATGGCCACATACGGGTTATATAAATAAAACGATTTTTACGGTCAAGTAATGGATCAGCCATAAGATCAGCATCACCATTTATATCATCATAAGCTAAAACTATCAATAATATTTTATTAAAATTTATTTTAATTATTCTACTTACAATAGAAAATTAATATTCTAGACATTATCATAGATGCAATGAACAAGATTGATAATAGATATAGGGTCTAGTTTTAAATTCAATTGAATTCAAAAATTTATGTATATGATTTATTCAGTGTCTTCAACAACTTCTGTGTTTTAATGCATTCAGTCAATTACGGTTTTTCTAATATCATGCAAGATATGTTTCAGAAATTCGAAAATAAGAAGTTTTGAAATTACGCATAAGAATCTAATTCAGACAGTAGAGTAATCATTTTCATCTAGTAATTCTCAGCATATAAAAATTTTATCTATTATATCTTAAAATGTTTACACATCCGCCTAAGTGTATGTTACCGTAATCGAGTAATAGTTGGTCTTTCGTTTTCCACAGTTTAGAATGAGATCTAGAAAAGTTTTTCTGTATTGAAGTAAAGATAAGTAAACAGTTTGCTTCAAATACTGATCAATATTCGATCATAGATCTTGTAAAGAAATATTTGTTATTTCATAACCAAACAACTTTTGATTTAAAGGCTAAACTTTGGATTTTTCAGATTCGAATTCGACTCGATCTATATTCATTTAACTGTCGAAACATGTAGTACTGTTATTCATTCCGAATTATATATAGAGGGATCGCGTAAGTTTCTCTAAAATATACTACAAGTAAATATTATATTAGTATTAAATTTAATAAATGATACATAACTTTTCTTCTACGATATAAAAATCTTTTTTAATTCATTCATTCCATGAGTTAATTAAAACTTTCTTGAAATTGTATTAGAAGATTTCAAAAAATGAGGGTAATCTGTGACTAGGAAAAGAAAATCATATATACAGTTTGCATTAAGACAATATTTCAATAATTGAATGAAATTGGTATTTTAATAGTTCGATAACATCCCACTAACACGGTCAATCCATTTTTGACAAATTCCATTTTTACATTTTCATTTCTCTATCTTAATTAATTAATATCTAATTACGAATATAACGACTTCTGTTTGAATGATTGTAACACTCATGCATAATTAATGTGATATATATTAAATAAAAGTTGAATCCTAGAAATAGAAAAAAACGAGCACAATAGAAGATCCATGCTTGCTCTTCTAAGACTTTAAGGAAACTCTCTTTTGAGCATTTTTGAAGGATGATTCATCAGAAAATGTTGAAACTTCCATGGCAAAGAGATCTCGATGAGTAGAGCAACAGTGGTCATAGACTCAAAAGTTCTTGATGTTCCCCTGCAGAAGGTATTGGGGTCGTACGGATTAAAAATTTCTTTGCAGATACTAAATAGTATTTGGATTGCCTACTTTTTTTTATTTCTTTTTATCTCCTTTTATTCAAATAAAAAACATCAACATTCTGAGAACACCCTCAAAAAAACCCAGTGATACACCATATTTTGAAATACAACGAAAGTACGTATCTTAAACAACTTCTACTATAAGTAGAAAAAAAATTCCTCTTGATTAAATGCATTGTGGTTGAGAAATGGCGGTGACTCTATCCTATTTGTTTTTTGTGAAAAAATTCGTTTTTTTGAAAGTCAGCAAAACAATGTGTAAAACTTTTATGTTCTAACCTTTCCGTTTTTTTTCGGCTATGCAACTTAAAGAGTCGAGTCATAAGCATTGACTATACGTATTTGGATAGTGAACTGATCGATCGATATCTTATTTATTGTTAACTTTTTCTTCTAATATATTTCTTCCTAGATAATGCATTGTTTTTTTCTTTTTATCTTTTTTTTGCATACATAAATTCAATAAACTGATCTGAGCAGAGTATTCATATATTTTATAATCAAAGAAATAAACTTTTATATAATAATGTGGCACAAAACAAAACATGGAAGTTAATAAATAAAGTTGTTATTGATACGATTATTTGTGTTTTTTTGTTTTTGTTCTGGAAAAATGGCGAAAATTTATTATAGGCGGAAGGCGCAAAGAAATAGGAAGAATAAGGCAGTGGTAAGATGATTTAAATAGATAGTATTTTGCAACGACACATGCTAACACGGAATGTAAGAATAAGTTAAGATAAATAGAATGGATGTAAACGAAGATTTCGTTGTAGTTAATGAAAACAAACACACAAACGCAAAATAAAGAAGACGAATATGGATAATTTTTAATGTACAAATGAGAAAGGAAAAAAATAAGAAGAATTTAACTAGATCACTGTTATTGAAGAAAAGTTATTTGCTTAGAGCGTTTCGATATATTGCACAGTAAATGTATATAGAATAAAGTTTTTCTACGATTAAACAGGACAAACATTTAAAAAAAAACGGATAAATATATAAATTGCATTGATGTATGTTTGTGAGTTTCTTTTTTTTTATTAAGATGATATCGACTAGGAAATAAGGTGAATATTTCAATCATCTTTATTTTGTTCAGTTATTATTTGTAGTTAATGATCTTTGTTCTTTAATTGATGAATAACATTGACGGCAAACACGTACATTTTTATAAATTTTCATACGAGGTATATCGGTTTCAAAACGACTACATCTAAATAATAAATAAAATAGAATAATAAAATCATAAGAAAAAAAAACATAACATTACCTAGCACAGAATAATTGTCCACAATTTCTAGAAATATAAAGAAAAAAGATAAAGTTTTTAAAGTTATAAAATATTCTTAAGATAGATGAATATAAATTTTTCGATGACGTTTTAACTACAGAAAGGAATATATGTAGGCTTCTAGAGAAAGACTTTTTCTATATAATAGTCTATGCATTATCAAGAGTTCTATTACATACTGTTGACATCTCAATAGACCCAGCTTCGTTGCAACTAAAATAAAATGCGAGGAAAGTGACATCACTTATTGACATGTCAACGATATGTATTAGAATTTGATACTGTCAATATCAGTAGATAGAAGAGGTCTTTCTGTACAAGTCTACATATATCCTGTTCTGTAGTCAAAAGCTTTTAATCATCTTTCATGTATATTCAAGTAATCTATCCATACCTGCAATGATGTCTTCGTTCAGCAAATGAAAATCGAATTGAACAATCTTTGCATGCACCTACGGTTTCATCTTTAATCCAATGATCAGCATTTGTTCGACCTGGGTTATCACTAACAGTCCAACTAAATATTCGACCACGTGCATCACCCACAAATAAAGTTTTATGATCTCTATAGAATAAAAATAAAAATACAAAAATAAATTGAGTTTTTAGTTTAGGTTTTTTTTTTAAATAAAATTATACACACTTTGAAATACCAATTGCTGTAACAGCAGCTGGACTTGGATTTTCTTTTCGTTCATAAGCTGTATGCATTGTTAATTTACCACGATAATTTAATCGACGATCCCATTTGAAACCTTAAGCAAAAAAAAACAATTTAGTATTTGACTTTCTCTTTTTCTTTTGATTTTTGTCTAACCTTCTTTTAAATCAAGATAAGTCGATTTCATTTGAGTTTCAGTATTATTATTATTATTATTATTATTATTATTATTATTATTATTATTATTACTTTTTGCTTCAAGTATTTCAACATCTGTAACAACAATAAATTTATCACTACCAGTTGGACTATTTAATGATGTTGCAGATGGTACATCAAGTGTATCTTTATTTATATTTAATTCTCCATCATCATCAAATGATGGGTCTACTTGTGGTGATAGACATGTTTGAGTAGGTGTTACAGGAGTTTTTCCTTCTCCTTCATCGGATTCAGCATCACTATCAATGGATATTTGACCTGTACTTGATTGTAATTTTATGGGTGATGGTTGAGATATTGATGGTAAACGACCTCGATCTTCGCCTAATGTTAACATTGAAGGTGATGATGGTGGTGCATCAAGTACTTGATCATAACCAATAGTCCACATCTAAAACAAAAAAATTATAGTTTTATTTACAGAACGAAAAATTCTCTAGATAATAAATATAAATTATATTCTAAAATAAACTTACACGAACAACACCATCGGAACTACCAGTTATAATCACATTTTCATCATCCCATTCATTCATCTAATAATAATAAAAAAAAATTTTTCAATATTTTCTACAAAAATTTATTTACTTGAGACATAGCAACACAAAGTATAGATTGTTGTCTACTATAAGCCATAGTATTAATTGATGCAAGTAATTGTCCATTTATAGTCCATACATAAAGATAACTTCCAGCTGCACTTGCAATATCACCCTTAGAAAATATTTTATTTGATTAAATGAAAAATTTTTCTTTGAAAATTAACTTACTGTTAATTCATTAACACATATACATGATATTGATCCAGCATGATTTGGTAATTGTCGAATAAAATGTAAACGATTTAAATCCCATACAATACATGTTTGATCATCAGAACCTGATATTAATATTCGATATGCTTGTGATGCTGTTAAATATGTTATTATATCATTATGACCAGTAAGACGAGTTTTAAGATGTAAACGTTTATGACGACCTTTACCAATTTCCCATACATTAATTAATGTATTAGTACCTGCTGTTATAACATATTGTGATGTTGGACATAAAACATTTGTAATTTTTCCATCTTGTACTAATTCATAAATCATTGAACTCTGAAGAAAGAAACAAAAAGAAAAATTTCAAAATTTTCGATTTTATTATTTATTTATTTACTTTATCAGAATCAACAGACATAATTCGTAAACTTTCATCAGGAAATCCATACTGAAAAAAACAAAGCAATAATTATAAATTATAAAATTTCAAAGAATTAATTTTATTTACTTGTATACAACGTGAATAATTTGGTGGTATAATTGCTTTACATTGTTCAAGAGCGATTAAGGATTTTTCAGTTGGAAGAATAATACCAACTGCAGATTTTAATTCTTAAAATTAAAAATTTCATATGAATAGAATTGACTTGTTAAAGAATTTTTTAATTACCTTTAATAGGCATTCTTGATGGTCGTAGACTATTTACATGATTAAAAAATAAATTTCTTTCAATACCAATTGAATCCATTAAAGATCGACTTAATCTTTTTTGTGGATGTGG